CTGGGGCGCTCCCGCCACCTGATCCACCCCTGCCAACGCGTAGGCTGTCAAGAGGATGTGGAGGCGGTCGAGGTAGTTTTCCCAATCGTGCGGGACTGACTCCTCCTGCTCCGTCTCCTCCGTGAACAGGCCGTCCCCCAAGCGTCTCTTCTTGCTGGTAGTAACCAGCTGGAACTGCAAGCTCTTGACCTTCCATACGGAGAAAACGCACAGGAGGCGCTTGTTTAATTCTCGCGTCACTCGCGAGAGTGTTGCATCCGAAGGATAGAGCTCGGGGGGGAATCTGGTACGATACCTGCGCCAGAATTGCTGCTTCATGTCACGCAGGCTTGTATCATCCAAGAGATCGTCCAAGTCTGATTCGCCGACTTTGGTCCTCCCTGCGTCAGCATGCTGAAAGAAAACCTTCACTGCAGCCCAGGTGCGCCTCAAACGTGCGGTTTGCACGCCCTGGACATCGCCCAAGTTGAGTCTCTGAACCCAGACCCCTATCTCGGCTTCCGACTCGAAGAAGTACCGGAATTCCTCAAGGTTCTTGAGCTTGGCCTTGACCAGGGCCTCGAGGATTTCATCAGCAAATTCGAAATTGAGTTGCAGCGACACAAGTGTAGCACGAAAATCAGCGCCGTCTCTCGGCACTAAGTGAAAAGATGCCATGGCTAGGCCGAAACCGTGGTCACTCCACACCCCTGCACTAAGGATCGGCCGGGCCTTGGGCTGACAGCTGCGCGAAATCCTGCGAGATCGAACACAGTGTGCAATCCTGGGGGGGGGAGGTGTGAGGGCGTAAGAAAATTAAAAGAAGACTGTCGTGGACGCATGCACTGCCTAGCTGCCCTAGCTCACAACAGCCACTCTGTTGCATGGCAGACACGGCTGGCTCACAGCCGACACCACATGCTACACTGCCCCAGGCCCTAGCATGTGCGCCCCAGACAATCTTTTGCATGGCAACCTATGTCGGACGGGTACGCCCCACTCCCTACGACAAGCTCTGCGCTTGTCCTGGAGCCCTAAGAACGATGCCGTTTCAGCACCTGCGAGGGTCACGACCGGAGCCTTATCAGAGAGTGGAATTCGTCTCTCTTAAATGCAGCATGTTATCCACCCGGTAACTCCGGGGGATTGATGTACAGCCCCTCTGCACACTCACTTTGGGTGGAACTTCGCTGCTGCCCGCTGGAGGCAGTCTTTGCAGAAGGGACGATCGTAGCCCTGGGCTTCCTCCACGGACTCAACCTCGGTCACATCCTTGAGCCTTTGGCTAGCAATGGATCCTTGGCGATGCTTGCAAAGAGGCACTCCTTGCTCCACTTCCAAGTGAATCTGGGACCGGTCCGTGAAGATGAATGCTCGAGGGGATGGCCAAACCTTGCCCGACATGCTGTTCTTTCGGGTGTAGCGGACCCACTTCGCCACCGTGCCCTGAGCCATTGCCTTGTGGATCTCGACGTCACGTAGACGGCTGACACGCCTCTGGGCTTCCTCGAAGCTGATGTTGTCCACCAAGGCCAAGAGGAGGGACTGCCCAGTGGCAGCTCGATGGCGGCCAGCCATGCAGTGGCCCAGGACACTACCTCCTGTGAAGAGGGTTTGGCGAATGACTGGCCAAGCTTCGCGCCACTGATCGTCCCGAGACGTCGAATCAGTGATGCTGATCTGGAGTTGCAGGGCACCCGGCAACGCCACGCCACCACGTGCTGCCACCGCCTGCTGCATCCAATTGAGCTGAATGTCACAGCGCGGAAAGGAAGACGCTGTGTCCTCCGTAGGCAGCCCTGCCAGCCACAGGATACCACCATTCGCTCCTTCCCAGATCTTCGTAGGCCGCTGCGCCGAATTGCCACCCACCGTAGCCAGACGATCGAAGTGCACCTCCAGATTGCTCGCCCCACTCCTCCGAGGCCAGGTGTCCGCCCCTGACTGCCCAGGGCGCTTCTCTCGAGGTCTCGTCGAACTGGGAGATGACGGCGGTGGGGTTTTTGGAGGGGTGCGCGGCCGTAGGAGTCTGCTCGGAGGCGGGCCCACAGGCTCTGCAGGAATCCGCCGCGGGGCTTCAGGCGGTGGCCTCACAGGAACTGTGCACCTTGGGGCAGGGCTTGCCAACTCTTCAACCAGAGACGGGCCCAAGGCCATCCAGAGCAAAAGACCGCCGGCACCGCAAAGTCGAAGCCTGCACGATTGCCGCGCTGCTTCCCTCGACTGCAGTGGAAGTGGAAGGTCGATCTGGAGAGGCGCATTGGGGATGCCCGCCGCAAGTGTTCAAACCGCAAACACCCCGTCATGCAGCACCAAAGCCCCACCAGAGCACGCCACAGAGGGTTGTTGGCCTGATACATGTCCTGCACTGCTTGCTCCAGGATAGGTACCATTGTTGGCACCAGCACCGCCGCCTGCTTGGGCTCCTTTTGGGGGTTCTGGCGGAAGTCGTAACCTCCCAACTCGAGGCCCAAGGTGCCCGTTTTGGCTAGCCACTTCAGGCCGGCCAAGGCCCGCGACTGTGCTTTGGTCCCACCAAAGAGAAAGGCGTCCACATCGACTGCTCCTGGCGGAAAGCGGCGACCTCGTTCAAACATATGGACCTGGAGTTCGCCGAAAGTGAGAAGTGCCCCCTTCAGTGTAGGCCGCTCTGTGACGAGGATCTTCCCCGTGGCCCGACGCCTCAGAGCTGCACGCCACTCCTGCTCCAACTGGGCCGTGATTTCCCCAGCCGGCTTCATGGCCCCCAATTGATACAGTGCCTCTGCTAGCTCGTCAGCGAACTCCTCCGCCAGACTGACCTGACTTTGGGCCTGGGGGGGATCTCGATGAGCACAGCTACGAAACAATCGCCCCTTGGCCGCCACTCTCTTGAGGAAGGTAGTCGGCCTCCGTGCCACCTGCGCTGCCAGGTTGCTCGAACCCACCGGCGCATCCAAGGCAGACGCCACTGCTCCAAAGAGAGAGCCTGATGCCTCAGATCGAATGGTTGCCCACTCTTCTGCAATCAGGGTTCCTCCCGTAGCGCGTGCCTCCTCATAGCTAGCGAACGCAAATGCAAAGTCAGTGTCATTCGCGTAGCCATGTTGGGTGCGCCACCGAGACGCATACTGGGTGGCATACTCGTCAAGGGCCGTGTATGCTGCTTCAGGCGCAGAGTCTGCTGCCAAGGATTCGGCTGCATAGACCCCGAGAGATCCCGGCATGGTAAGCAAGACCAGCCCTAAGCCCAATGCTTGAAGCCCAAAGCTCAGGTGGACCCTCAGACCATGAGATGCTCCCGAACAGCGAAACAAAGAACTTGAACACAGACTGCAAAATTTCCCCAGGGTCCTCGCCGAACTCGCCCAGCCTGACCACTCCGAGCGACGACCTGAGCATTTCAGTGATGCAAACAGGGTAACTCCCTGCCGCTCACAAGAAAATGGCGCTTGCGGGGTCACTCCCCGCCCATTACACATGTGCATTTGTGGGTACCGCAAAATTGGAGGTCCGCCCCGGATCCCCACACTCGACTCAAGTCTCCTCTCAGTCGCTCTCACTCCCAGAGCCACTGTCGGACAGGGGCCGTGACGCCATGGCCACCCGTGCCTGCAAGCAATCACGGCACATTGCTGACTGCAAGATCTGGTGCACGAAATCCCCTGAGCCCCCGCAGTCCACACAGACCGCAGGCATAGACCGGCCCGCGGGGTCTGCCGCCCATCGTAGCCAAAGCAGCATAGACCGATGGGCTTTGTGCACTTCATTGGCCCGTGCCTGGTTGGGCGTGGGCTCTGGGAGTAAGAGTGGATCGCGCCAGGCCCGTTGTCCCTGCTGCCAGGTTCGCCAAGCCCGAAACACATCGTCCACAGAGGGATGGTCTGCGCCGTGGAGGTCGTTGATCTCGGCCTGATAGAGCACACGCGCAAATGTAGCAGTGAGCATATCCTGCAGCTCCAAGCCCGAGCTAGCATCCCACAGCCTGTCCTCTGCAAGAACTTCTCGGCAACGATCGTAGGCGGCAAAGGCCACCGCTGGCCCCAACTCAGGCTCCTCCACGATGGCTGCACTCTTGGACCAGGGGCCAAGGAAGGGGAATTGGTAACCACCTCTGGCTCGCCCGCATCGATCACACCCAGCCTGGGTACAGACAATCCGGCGCACCGGAACCTTGGAACCCAAGAAGTCAAAGTCTGTAATCGATGGGGAGGGTGCCGGTAGGTGTGTAATCTCAGCAACCCGACTCCAGATGGACCACAACTCATCCTGACGGCCCTGACGTGCCAGATCAGACATGTAGGCGCGGAAGTCCAACCAGTTCGCGGGAGCCAAGGTCGGCAAATTTGTGTGAATGACTGTAGGCTCATCATCCATTCCGACACAGGGATCACTTCCCTGGGAGAAAAGAAATGTTCCAGCTTGCCAGTTTGGCTCTAGCCAAGTCTTAAGCCAAAATGTAGCAAGCCGGTACATTGCATCCTCAAAATGAAACATGCACACCCAAGGCCTGCCTAACTCAATGCATGTGCATTTCCTGATGAATATAATTCTATTCTGAATTATACGGACTGGAGGTCAGGGCTGAGTTTTGGTGCAGTCAACTTTTTTGTTGGTGAACTAGCCTTTCAAGGCGATACTTAAAACTACTCAACCCCAAATCCCCTGTGTTTTGTCGCCATTGAATCTAGAGGTGGCGGCTGTCGCAGGATGCAGGCCTTTGGGAGGGTTTAGGTGGCACTCCACGGGGTTGCTTGCCATCACAAAAAACAAGCCACACGATCTCCTTTTCTATTCATCCTGGATCTGTGTGCGGCCCTCACCCTCGAACCTCACCAGCCGCTGTACAAAAACCGAACCCCGAACGAAACCTTGCGCTCGAAACCCTGGTTGCGAAACCCTAAGCCCAAAAACCCTAAACCCTAGACCCCTAAACCCCTAAACCCCTAAGCCCCTAAGCTCTAAGCCCCTAAGCCCCTAAGCCCCTAAGCCCTAAGCCCTAAACCCTTAAACCCTAAACCCTAAACCCTTGGGGCCCGTGCGAACTCTCGGCCGCTTGTGAACTTCTGGTGCTGGCGTTCTACGAGGCCGCCCAGCTCTTGCCTGCAAAGGTAAGGGTTTTAGTTTAGGGTTTAGGGTTTAGGGTTTAGGGTTTAGGGGGTTAAAGGCTAAGGGTTTGAGACCATGGTCCGTAGTTGAGTCTCCAAAACTGGAACCCCGTAGTGTGGCTTCTTTTGTAAGTTCTCATTGCCAAGTGGAAAGTTTAGCCCCTTGCTGGCGCTATCTAGTTTCCTCTTCTAGTGTAAACAAGGGTGCCCTATGTTGTTTCATGAACCCTAAACCCTAAACCCTAAACCCTAAACCCTAAACCCTAAACCCTAAACCCTAAACCCTTAATGGCAGTTGTATGGGAACCTGAGCCCCTTCCCCAAAAGCATAGCGGTCATTTACCTTCTGTAGTTTCAGGGCAACAAGAACTCTTCCCTCAGAATGTCGACCGGACTGTGGGAACAGTCGAGGATAGGGTCTTGGGGTTTAGGGTTTGGGGTCCAGGGAGGTGAGGCTGTTGCGATCCAGAGGCCCTTCTAGGCAAGCGTGAACCTTGCTAAGCCGGGCTGTCGCTCCAGCATGGCTGCATGATGGCCCTCGTAGAAATGGGCGGCTTCGGGTCTCCAGGACGATGGGTTTTTTGGTATGGCCGTGTAGGGTCCCTTCTTGCGGAAGGCATTGTGGGGCACGTATGAGAACACAGGAAACGCTCTTCGGAGACCAGGGCTGTCAAGAGTCAAGACTGAGAGGACATTCGTGTCCCTAGTTTTCGTTGATCCATCCGACCGCGATGTCAAGACCAGAGATGTTGGGAGATCCGGATCATCTGGTCGCAGAGTGTGTAGGGTTTAGGGATTTGGGAATTAGATCGAGGGCATTGCGCGTAGGGTATTGATCTGCTGGCTGGAGCCGAGCAGCTGTTGGCATCGGATTTGTCACAGATTCTCAAAATCCAGGGACGACATGCTTGGAGGGAGTCTTTCAGGAGAAAACCCTGAACTTTAAACCCTGACTCGAAACTGACCGACTAGCCCTGGTCTGGGCTGCCGACGTTAGGTTCACAAACCACGCTGGCCGGGAGGTGTAGAGATAGTATGCCAATGCTGCCAGCACCACGAGCCAGAAAATCCTTAGCACATGGACAACTGAGTCAACCGAGTGCTCAAAGCTACAAGATTCAACTTCGACTTCCAAGGTTCTCAAAAGACGAGCTGGTAGGGACGATGGGACTGGGTTTGGGGTTGAAGGGTCACCCCCCCCGAAGCCTTTAAACAAAAAACCCTGAAAGTTTACGAACATAAGGGAACCCTCGAATAGTGGGATTCCCTCCTTACACGGTCCTTGCGGTGGGTTTTGGAGGGAAGGGGGGGTCAGCACACATATACATATGCATATATGTATAACTGCACACACACACACACACCTTGACCTGACACATTTTTAGCCCCCCCCCCCCAACCCCCCTTCGAAATCTAAGCGCCAGGCAGGCGAGTGGAGAGAACGCTCTCCTGGGAATTCAGGATCGCTTTCAGGGAGGAGTTCCCGATTGGGGAATACGGGCAAAGAAGGGACATCCCAAGTCAAGAACAGAGTGGTTAAGGGTTTAGGATATGTGGCTTCATTAAGGGTAGGTAGTGTATAGAAGAAGAATATGGGGGAAATACTGCCCATCTGAAAGTTTCTGCAGCCTAAACGCCCTTGAACATATCGACTGCATGACCCCAACCCTCAATTCCAAGACACGAGGCCGCAAATCGTTGAGGGTTTCGGGTTTCAGGTCGAGGGCTCTGTAGGCTTGGGGGATTCAGGGCGTCGGTGCTTGGGATTCGGCGCTTTCAGGGTTTCCGAGATGGAGATGGAAATGCACAGAGCGGCAAGGGCGCAACCCCCATCCCCCCCTTCGCCCCCCCTGCTTCCCAAAATAAACGAAGAAACGGCCTCAACAAGCTGGGAAGCCAGCCTACAACCATCAAAACAAAAAGAACTGAGAAACAACCCCAAAACCCAAACCCTAAACCCTAAACCCCAAACCCTAAACCCTAAACCCTAAACCATCGTCCACTGGTTGTGAAGGTGCAGCCAGTGGAAGCTTGGGGCAGGCTTCGGAGGGATGCTGGGGTTTTAGAGCTTCAGGGGCTTCAACCGAATGACATGGTATTGTCGTCATGGTTCTCTTACTCTTACTTCTCCAATAACCAAGGGTAAAAAAGGTTAACTTTAATATTCCTACTAAATGAGGTAATGAGGAAACCCAAAAAAGTTTAAAGTTCAACTAAAGGCGAAGCAAGTACTACTTCCTTCCATTGTCATTCTTATGATTGCTGCTTTCACTATCATCGTCATCAGGCTTTTCTATTCCACCCCCCCCCAAACCCCGGGGCTTCTTCTATTTTACCCTAAACCCTAAACCCTAAACCCTAAACCCTAAACTCTAAACCCTAAACCCTAAACTCTTAACCCTAAACCCTAGACCCTAACCCGAAAACCCCAAGGCCTAATCGTAGACCGAGGCTCTGAAGCCTGCTGGTGGCGGTGAGCGCTCTCCTTTTCCAGCTCTTCGCTCAGAGGGATCAACCTCGCCCCAGCATTCTTGGGAGACTTGATTTGCGTTTGGGGTTTGGGGTTTGGGGTTTGGGGTTTGGGGTTTGGGGTTTGGGGTTTGGGGTTTGGGGTTTGGGGTTTGGGGTTTGGGGTTTGGGGTTTGGGGTTTGGGGCTTGGGGCTTAGGGCTTAGGGTTGCGTTGGGGGTTTTGGGTCAGGGTAGTCTTCAAGACTTCTAAGCAAGGCTAGGAATGGCTCCGGCAATGCCGGAAGCCCTAAACCCTAAACCCTAAACCCTAAACCCTAAACCCTAAACCCTAAACCCTAAACCCTAAACCCTAAACCCTAAACCCTAAACCCTAAGGCCCCAAACCCTAAGGCCCCAAAATTTAAACCTAAACCCTAAACCCTAAACCCTAAACCCTAAAGCCCCAAACCCTAAAGCCGCAAGAGCCCCGAAGCAAGTGCCGTCCAAGCTGCCCCGCCACCTCCCTGCGCAGCGCTGACCGTGCGGGCTCGACGGAGGGGGGCCACAGGCGTGGAGGGCCAGTCCTAGGTTAGGGTTTAGGGTTTAGGGTTTAGGGTTTAGGGTTTAGGGTTTAGGGTTTAGGGTTTAGGGTTTAGGGTTTAGGGTTTAGGGTTTAGGGTTTAGGGTTTAGGGTTTAGGGTTTAGGGTTTAGGGTTTAGGGTTCAGCACTCCGGGTCGAGCAGTTTTATGGTAAAGCTTTATTTACGGCTTGGAGAAAACACCCACCCACCCAGAGCATCCCACTACATTGAATTGAGAAAGCCAAAAACGGCCAAATTCTGAAAATAAAGCGGCCAAATTCTGAAGCGGCCAAATTCTGAAAATAAAGCGGCCAAATTCTGAAAATAAAACGGCCAAATTCTGAAAACAAAGCGGCCAAATTCTGAAAATAAAACGGCCAAATTCTGAAAATAAAGCGGCCGAATTCTGAAAATAAAGCGGCCAATTTCTGAAAATAAAGTGGCCAAATTCTGAAAAACAAAGCGGCCAAATTCTGAAATTAAAACGGCAAAATTCTGAAAATAAAGCGGCCAAATTCTGAAAATAAAGCGGCCAAATTCTGAAGCGGCCAAATTCTGAAAATAAAGCGGCCAAATTCTGAAAATAAAGCGGCCAAATTATGAAAATAAAGCGGCCAAATTCTGGAAATAAAACGGCCAAATTCTGAAAATAAAGCGGCCAAATTCTGAAAATACAATTAAGGTTTAAATACATATGGTAGAGAGGGTTTAGGGTTTAAGGGTTAAGGGTTTAGGGTTTAGGGTTTTAGGGATCCAGGGTTAGCGTTGAGGGGTCTTGCTTTTCAGTGGAGCGTTTTGGGGTTCAGGGGTTAGGAGGTGATTCGGCATACACACTTAGGGCTTAGCGAGTCGGCTCTGTTAGGGTTGTTGGGGCATGAAGAATAGAGTGCTCTAACCCTAAACCCTAAACCCTAAACCCTAAACCCTAAACCCTAAACCCTAAACCCTAAACCCTAAACCCTAAACCCTAAACCCTCCTTAGGAGTCTTTGGCTGCAGGGGTTTAGGGGTTGGGGTTTGGGCTTTGCTTTGTGAGAGGCCGACCGACCCCAAAGGGCTCCAAACCCCAAACCCCAAACCCCAAACCCCAAACCCCAAACCCCAAACCCCAAACCCCAAACCCCAAACCCCAAACCCTAAACCCTAAACCCTAAACCCTACTTTCAAACCTTTGCCAGGGCTTAGAGGAGCCTTGGAACCCTTCAAGGTTGGGAAGCTAAGTTGGTGCATGTGCCCTTTTGACGTACCGAATTCCCAAAAGTCCCGACTAGGAAACAGTACGTTGTCCTTCCCAGATCGCGACTCACTCGGCCTCCTTCTCAAAGCCGAGTAGAATTGTTGAGGGTGCCCAAGGATCTCAAGGAGCTCCTAGTAATTCATGATTTTCTGAAATAATATGAATTACAATAATACGAAGAACAGTAATATCAAATTAATAAATTAATCTTATTAAAAGTCGCCCGGGTAAGACAGCCTTTTTCATGAAGAACTGGCGAGTAGTGCTGCGAAGAGGCGCTTCGAGAGGGGTTTTTGGGAGAAGGATGTACGACTGGGCGTGTGCGGGATTCCCTCGCGCTGTTTCGCGTGTGAACGAACAGCTCCAGAACTGAAATCTACTCTCTGCACCCTAAACCTGGGGATGTTCCCCCTTATACTGACAGTCCATAATAGGGATTATAATACAATAATTCTTATTAAGGACTCTTAGTATGAGGGGGGACATCCCAGTCCAAGCCCTGGAATCCTCCCAGCCCCCCCCCCCCCCCCCCCCCCCCCCCCCCCCGCCCTTCTCCGCACTTAGCACCTGGCAGAGCCGGTGGCGTCTGCCCTGACCAAGGAGTACCTGCCCATTCCGATGTATAGTTTTGTCTGCCAAAGCCTGAAGGCTTATATTGCTACATTGGGGTTTCATATATATGTATATGTAAAAAAAATATACATATATACATACGTGTATAATCAATAATATATGTAGAGCTCGCCCCCCCCCCCCCCCCCCCATGGTTCCCCCAACCCTGTGGTCCTCCCAACCTCGGGTCTAGGGCTTCAGGTCTCGGGTGTCGGGTTTCGGTTTCAAAGTTCAGGGTGTAGGGCCCACCCTCCCCCCCCCCCCACCCCCCCCACCCGCTGTGTTGGGGGCAGGGGGTTGGAGGGGGGGATACCATCAAGGATGGCTCTTCGGCCCCCGTGATTAACCATGGGTTCAGGCGCAAACTTCAAGAGGCGTTGAAGGAAGGGGTTGAGGAGGAATCTTTGCCAAGCTTTCTGAGGGGTGCTTCGAAAGACTGAAGCTTCCCCTAAACCCCAATCCCGAAACCGTTCCATTCCGTGAAGCATGCTTCTCCGGGCCTGTTCCGCTTCGGTCCAAAGCTATCCACACCTCACCAGCCTCGCCTCGCGCGAGGGCGTGAACCCTCGACTCGAAGGCCCAAACCCCAAACCCCAGGCCTGAGTAGCCCTTTATCCTTCAAGTGGAAGCTGCCCCGAGTTTCAGGTAGCTGCGCCGTTGTTGAGGGTATATTTGTAGGTTACTCAATGATCCAAGGTTGAGATGTTGGAAGCCCGAGCTACCTAACATGTTGGGTGGGCTAAGTGGAATGGGTCAAAGAGTACTTCACATGGTAACTACTTAAAGAAGCGAGTAACACTGGCAATTGCTTAGGTACGCTCCTCAAAACTGCAAACCCTGAACCCTGAACCCTGAACCCCAAGAGGGGCGGTGCGCGGGGAGATTGGGTGATCTTCAGCCCCTACTCGCAGAATAAGACCCTAAGCCCGAAACCCTAAACCCTAAACCCTAAACCCTCAACCCTAAACCCTAAGCCCTAAGCCCTAAACCCTAAACCCTAAACCCTAAACCCTAAACCCCCAAGAGGTTTCAGCTGAAATGATGGTTCCCTCTTGGGGGTCGGTTTTGATAAAACGGAGCCTTTTAACTAGGCACCCCAAAATGTCTTTAGGCAGGTGCCGAGGTGTCCCGAAACATTGGAAGTAGGGTTTAGGGTTTAGGGTTTCGGGTTTAGGGTTTAGGGTTGAGCATTTCCCAAAGTAGGGGGTACCTCTTCCTGTATATAGGACCCCCTCCAAGGGGCACTCCTCAACTTACGCCTTGGGATGTTCCCCCTTATACTAACAGTTATACTACTCCTATTATAATCCCTATTAAGCACTGCTAGTTTATACTAGCAGTTATACTACCCCTATTATAATCCCCATTAAGCACTGTTAGTTTATACTAACAGTTATACTACTCCTACTATTATCCCTATTAAGCACTGTTAGTGTAAGGGGGAGCATCCCAACTTAAACCCATTTCTGGCTTGCCGCAGCGTGGCCCTGGCCCTCAAAGTGCAGGGGCAGCGCCCAGAGGCGGCTGCCAGTGCCGGGAGCCTGCCATAGTTGGGTTTAGGGTTTAGGGTTTAGGGTTGGGGTCTGGGGTTTGGGGTTTAGGGTATAGGGTCAAAGTGGCTCACACTTGGGGGGCTTCTGAAAATAGGGGCATCTTTCTTTTGAGGTCTATACGAAGGGTCCCTGACCCTTGCCGACCAAAGCCCAAAGCCGCAATGCTCCCCCCGACCCCCCCGGCGCGTGTATGAATGCCCGAGAAGCCCTCAAACCGGATAGAATCCCCTAAGCACCCTATAGCTTCTAACTAGAAGCCGGGCCCAGCAGGAGAGGTAGCGAGGGAATCAGGCAACGTTAAAGCCGGAGCCTCAGGGAATACCCCAGAGCCGAAACCCTCAACCCTACAAAATCTCCCTAAACCCTAAACCCTAAACCCTAAAGCCTAAACCCTAAACCCTATACCCCAAACCCCACAAAATCTCCATGCCCGTGCTGCCGGCTCCACTGCGCGGCCCTCGCCAGCGAGGGCTGCGGTGCTGAGGGTGGAGCCCGACCAGGCCGCAACCAGGCCTTTTGAGGGCGCTTGGTTTGGGATGTTCAGTAGCCCTAAACCCTAAACCCTAACCCCTAAACCCTACTCCCTAATCACTAAACCCAAGAGTGCTTTTGGGTTTACATTTTCGGGCTTACATGGGCCCACAAAGTTTCTGGGTCCACGCTGGGGATCCTTTTCTTCGTCGAAGCCCCAAGAATCCCAAAAAAACCCTAAACCCAAAACCTAAACCTGAACCCTGAACCCTAAACACCTAGGCATGTAAGGTACCCCGATGAAAATCTGATTCTTCCTCAGGTTTGATCTATGCAGGCAAACAGAACGCACATTGTCCGAGGAGAGTGTAGCTATATCCTGCGAAATCAAGCTCAAAGCAACCACTCTCGGAAAGCAACCTCCAAGGCAGGTCTCCGCATCTACCCTCAACTACGGTGGAACTTTGTGTTAAGAAATTTTATGAAGCAAGAAATTAGACTCTCGAATTGAGAAAAATAATTATATTCAGAGTCTGAATCGCAACCCAAACGTAATTACAAATTGAATGGCCTTTTTGCAAGGCTTCCAGCCCTCCAGCCCTCCAGCCCTCCAGCCCTAGCCCTCCAGTCCTCCAGTCCTCCAGCCCTCCAGCCCTCCAGCCCTCCAGCCCTCCAGCCCTCCAGCCCTCCAGCCCTCCAGCCCTCCAGGATTAAGCCCTCCAGCCCTCCAGCCCTCCAGCCCTCCAGCCCTCCAGCCCTCCAGCCCTCCAGCCCTCCAGCCCTCCAGCCCTCCAGCCCTCCAGCCCTCCAGCCCTCCAGCCCTCCAGCCCTCCAGCCCTCCAGCCCTCCAGCCCTCCAGCCCTCCAGCCCTCCAGCCCTCCAGCCCTCCAGCCCTCCAGCCCTCCAGCCGGGGTTTAGGGTTTAGGGTTCATGTTTCAGGGTTCGGGGTTTGACCTGTCAATCTGAATCCTTTCTTGCTCCAAAATCTTTGGGGCTGGAGGGCTGGAGGGCTGGAGGGTTGGAGGGCTTGAGGGCTGGAGGGCTGGAAGGCTGGAGGGCTGGAGCTGGAGGGCGGGCTGGAGGGCGGGCTGGAGGGAGGGCTGGAGGGAGGGCTGGAGGGAGGGCTGGAGGGAGGGCTGGAGGGAGGGCTGGACAAAGGGCTGGATGGAGGGAGGGCTGGAGGGAGGGCTGGAGGGAGGGCTGGAGGGAGGGCTGGAGGGAGGGAGGGCTGGAGGGAGGGCGGGAGGGCTGGAGGGAGGGCTGGAGGGAGGGCTGGAGGGAGGGCTGGAGGGAGGGCTGGAGGGAGGGAGGGCTGGAGGGAGGGCTGGGAGGGCTGGAGGGAGGGCTGGAGGGCTGGAGGGAGGGCTGGAGGGCTGGAGGGAGGGCTGGAGGGCTGGAGGGCTGGAGGGCTGGAGGGCTGGAGGGCTGGAGGGCTGGAGGGCTGGAGGGCTGGAGGGCTGGAGGGCTGGAGGGCTGGAGGGCTGGAGGGCTGGAGGGCTGGAGGGCTGGAGGGCTGGAGGGCTGGAGGGCTGGAGGGTGGAGGGCTGGAGGGCTGGAGGGCTGGAGGGCTGGAGGGCTGGAGGGCTGGAGGGCTGGAGGGCTGGAGGGCTGGAGGGCGGAGAAAGCAAAGGGTTGGTCAGGTTGAATAAGAAATGTTTTCAAGACTCTCGCCTCAAATCTACCTTTCTTAATGCATCTGCCTGGTTAAGAAATGTCCCAGACTCTGGTGGACCTTCGAACCTTTCTTATCATAAGTTTTGACCGTACTTTGAGTAAGGACAGCCCAGATTCGGAAGACTTCTGCCATGCTCGGCGCGATTTGGGGGCTTCAGACAGCAAGGGGAGGGGCGGGTTGCCTACATGTCCTCACTAAGCCCCAACTGGTCCATACCACACATGGAGGTTCATGGTACTTGTTCACCAATTTTTAACTGTACTTCTAACCATACTAGGGCACTTAAGGGGCTATATAAGTGGGTCCAGAAGTACAGCTCTAATTTATAATTGCTTACTATAAGTACCATGAACCTCCCAATGCGGGTGAACACCACGTCAGCCTCCCACGGCCGCACCCTTCGCCGCCGAGGTTGCGGTGGGAGGCAACCCCACCAGACTGGGCAGCGCCGGTTCCTGGTATCTGCTTTCCCGGTTTAGGGTTTAGGGTTTAGGGTTTGGGCTTTGGGGTTTAGGGTTTGGGGTTTAGGGTTTGGGCTTTAGGGTTTAGGGTTTGAGGGGGCTTACCCTGAACCCTCGGTACCCCTAAAAGGTTCCCCTTAATATACTCCGAGTATGGCCCTTGAGATACCCTTAGGGATCCTTAAAAAGGGACCCCTAAAACCCAAGGCACAAGTTGCGGTTTCCTAAGAAAACACCTGCTGACATCCTCTTACTTGGGCCTTTCTCACGTCTCACCCTCTCGTTTAGGGTTTAGGAATTAGGCTTTAGGGTTTAGGCTTTAGGGTTCTGGGTTGAGGCTTCTGGGTTCTAAGGTTTAGGGTTCTGGATTCTAGGGTTTAGGGTTTTCAGGGTTCAGGGTTCAGAGGGCTTAGAGGCGCCATTCACCAAACGACCCCCCGCAGTGGCCCCAGATCTGTCTGACACCACAGGGATCTGATCCCTGGAGTGCCCTCAGATCAGCCTTGGCGCGCATCAAAACCAGTGCCCCCACCCAACAAGTTGCCGAAAAGCAGGGGGTGAGGAGGCTTGTGAAGCTTCCCCTGAAGGGTTTCGTGCTTAGGGTGTTTAGGGCTTGGGATGACCGAGACCACGAAGACAATGACGAGAACCACCACCACCACCACCACCACCACCACCACCACCACCACCACCACCACCACCACCACCACCACCACCACCACCATCATCAATATTCGGATGTGATTTGACGTAACTTGGGCGGCGGAGAGCGTGACTAGGTCTGCAGGGGGAGGACATGATTCCTACGCCCCTGCGGTCTCAAGGCCTAAGAGCCCCCCCCAACACACTGTCGGGCCAAAGGAGCCCCGTCGCCCGTGGGTGTCGTGATGCTCAGGACGAGGTCTGCGCCAGATCTGGGCACAGAGTCAATCTCGCATTCATGGGGCTTAGGCCCGTTACAGGTGAAGGTTGTGGAACAAGTGAGGAGCAATCCATGAGCATTTACAAAACCATAACCCTAAATACTATAATATTTGCTTAAGAAACCGCAACAAACAAAAGAAAATAACCCTAGACTCCCTCATAAGGAGGAATGTTCTTTGGGAGGTTCTCAAGCAAATAGTCAGTAGAGCTTAGTCAGTAGTAAAGTCCGAACCACAAAAGCAACGCTCCAGGGAACACCACAGAGCCACGCTAGGGAATTCGGGCATGACTTTGACAGCAGCTTGCTGGATCAAGCTCCCAAGCCTTCAGGTAATCTTAGTCTTTGGGGTTCAAAGGTTTAGAGTAGGGAAGAAGCGAACAATTCAGAGCAAGCCGTCCCCAAATCCGCTCCCACCCCTCGACTGCATGAATATTGTTCGGGGTGCGCCAGCGGGGCGGCCAGGAAAGGCCCCACAACCTCAGTCGGGGCGGGTAACCTGGGCAGCTTTGCACAGAACACCCATCAAACCCAAAACTGCAGATTACGGGTATCTACTAAGTTGAGGGATTCGATAAGCTTCGAAACTTACCAGCATGAACCATCTGACGAAAAGGAGATGCATGCCCGCATGCCCAATGGCCAACGGCAAGAAGAAGGAAACCTACTCCCGCTGCTGCTGCTGCTGCCACTACTACTACTACTGCTACTACTACTACTGCTACTACTACTACTACTACTACTACTACTACTACTACTACTACTACTACGACTACTGCTACTCCTACTGCTACTGCTACTCCTACTACTACTACTACTACTACTACTACTACTACTACTACTGCTACTGCTGCTGCTACTGCTACTGCTACTGCTACTGCTACTACTACTACTCCTACTACTACTCCTACTACTACTACTACTACTACTACTACTACTACTACTACTACTACTACTACTACTACTACTACTACTACTACTACTACTACTACTACTACTACTACTACTACTACTACTACTACTACTACTACTACTACTACTACTACTACTACTACTACTACTACTACTACTACTACTACTACTGCTCCTGCTCCTGCTCCTGCTCCTACTCCTACTCCTACTACTACTACTACTACTACTACTACTACTACTACTACTACCACTACTTCTACATCTACTTCAAATAACAAAAACAACAACAACAATCATCATATGAATCCGCAGCAAGAAGCCCTTCAGAAGCTTGAACCAGAAACCTGCCGAAACAAGAGCAGCTCCTCGCCTCACTCTCCTAGACCCGAACCTAGATCGCCCAAACTACCCAAGTTCATGGACCACAAATCATCCCACAAAACAGGGTAGGTACGCTGGGGGTCTCGAAGCTCCATTAAATCCAAACCCAAAAGCCTAAACATCCCTAAAAGCCCAGCAGGAGCCCTGTTTTTTCTGGGAGCCCGCGCAGGTTTCGGGCTCAGCAGGGAGACACGCCGGAGGCGAAGACCGAGGGGCACGCAGCGCCCTGGGCGCTCGTGTTTGTGGGAAGGCGGATTGACTTCGGCTCAAAAACAAGCCTGGAGCCCTTTAAACCCTCTGTCAGATATTCCTGAATATGATAAGGGAGAATATAAAATGTCCCAAAGGCCTTACCTGGCTAGGGTTTAGCGAGCTGCACGGCCGCTAGTCTACCGGATCTAAGCCTGAACAGGGATGAGACGGTGAGATCAGGAATCCTCCTTACCTTTTCAGACGGAACCTAAAAATTCCAAAACCCAAAACTAACCTTAGCGGGTTCAAGGGATTTTCGGATAGAGGAGAGCTGGATTTCCGGTAGTATCTTCACATTCAGCAAGGACTCTCAAGCCTCTTCTAAGTTCAGGGTTCAGTGTGAACTCGTTCTTCCTTCGTGGGGCTTGTAAGGGAAGCCAGAAACCCCAACAAAAGCAAGTTTTGTAGTTAAAACCCAAAGGTGTCTGGGCAACATTCTGGGATCCGATGCTGCTTCCACCCTACAGTTCACCCGCCCCCCAACCCGAAAGAAGGCCCAAACAAGGCAGATGGTCGGGTGAATAGTTTTTTTCCCGGGGAGAGGGGGGGGACCCTAAACCCTAAACTTTAAACCCTAAACCCTAAACCCTAAATCTTAAACCCTAAACGGGTGAGGGCAAACACCGATTCCCTTACCAGCTCCCGTGGTGGCCCAGCCGCGGGTTCGTGCGAAGGCCTGGCGGGCACGGGGCTGTGAGAAGTTTCCCGGGCCCAAGGCCCTGGAAGCCCGTTGGGTTTCGGGTCTAGGAAAGTAGATCTGGGGTTCTACTTCCTTTCTATCCTCCCAGGGTTTCCTGGTTTGAGTTTCAGCTTTCATGGGTAAAGGGAACGTAAGCCCTAAACCCGAAACCCTAAACCCTAAACCCTAAACCCTAAACCCTAAACCAGAATAGCTGAGGGACTGGGGAGCTGAGGGTTTTGTGGAGGATGCTGGTGGCTTTACACCTCTAGGGTTTAGGGTTTAGGGTTTAGGGTTTAGGGTAGCTTGAGCACTTCGCTTCTTCAGGATCCTTGGAAAGAATTCCCTGAGGGGGAAAGACTGGCGCGATTCGAAGTAACGGGGCACCCGCTTGGACACCCACCCCGTGCCTTGTTGCCGATTGCATCGTCGTGACCTCGTAGGGATAGAACCCCTTGCAGGGTAGATGTACATACATATAACTATATGGGCGGATATAAGCTAAACTTTAAACCCTAAACCCTAAATGCTAAACCCTAAATCCTAAACCCTAAACCCTCCCCTCAGTCCATACGAAAGAGCCAGTAGGTTTAGGTCGGGGGCCCGGCTTCTTGGAGGCAAGACCCTGTGCTCGACGCCTCTAAGCCTCTTACTTTAAAACCCACAACCCTCTTACCCTAAGCCCAGATGAGCCCAAAAAACCCTTCAGGGTTTAGGGTTTAGGGTTTTTGCCCTAAACCCTAAACTTTCCTAAGCCCCTACAAAACAACAAAGAACACTCTCGTGGAGCCCACAGATTCAAAGGTGCTTGTGCTCGAGCCATCCTCCCTGGTTGATTCCATCTTTCCTAAAGGTCTTGTATGGGGCTGGGGTATCTAGGTGACTCTGGGGAGACCCTCGACCCTGAAAGCCCACACAAACTCCGAAGCTCCCAAAACCCTCTCCTGCATCCACAAACCCTAAGTAGAAGAAAACAGGTCTGCCACCCGCCAGAAGTCATTCCCCCCCCCCCCCCCCGGCTCGACCCCAGACCCCACCTGAAAAGTTAAGTCACAAGTCACCTCCCCGAGAAACCAGAAAGGTTTAAGGGGTTTGTGAACTGAGTGTTCTGGGGTTATACAAGCTCACTTCTCCAATATCCCAAGCTGCGAAGCTTACCCCGTCCTAGCCCAGTAAGGCCCCTGCGGATGCGAACAGCATGCTGACCTTTCAGTCAGAGGCATAATATCCCTCAACCTTTCTAGGATGTTGGTTCAAGGCTTAGGGAGCTGGCAGGAAGTTGATGATAGGCATGTAGGGTTTAGGATTGACGAGGCTTTGCCTTGTCCGGATGTTGCTCCAGAGCAGGGGAGCCAAGATTGCACGACTCGAGGTTTGCGACAGCTGATCTCGGAGATCGCGTAAGAGGGACTTTGTTCTCATGCACGAAAGTTGCATGGTGGCGCTGGGACTTGAGGTTCTAGAAGATACCCTCCTACTGCGCCCCATGTTCACCGGCCATGTTTAGAAACATCCCGAAGCCCTCAACTTAAAAGGCGCAACACGTCTGAAACACCACAGGGCCTCGGCCTCGAATCCTGCAGCTCGTTTGGTAAACCCCGCCCCCCACCCAACCCTCCCTCCTCTTTTGTTTTTACCCCCCCCCCCCCCCACAAAAACACAGGGCGTCAGCTCTCGCGCCCGCCTGCGGCTAAGCGGAGCTGCAGTACAGCCTGGGCCAGGGCAGCGTCGGTTCGCTGAGGTCTGCTGCAAGCACTTGGGGTGCTTAAAGCGCAAGTGAAGTGGTAGAATCACTACCCCACCTCGGCGATGGATCCCCAAACTGTGGTTCCAAAAACACGACATTCCTTGTTCAGTTAAAATGGGGTTTACGATTCGTATAAAAGATGTAAAGTGGCTTTTGTCCACAAGGACCCTGTATTCATCTGGTCAAAAAAAGGGCCCCCCCATGCGCCGTGACAGCCTCGCCTGGGCGTTCCGTGCGGCGCTGGCGACTCCGTGGGCGGCAATAGCTGGGCCAGCAGCCTGCGAAGTTTCGCGCCCCCCGCCCCTCCCCTTCCCCCCCCGCTCTTAAGCTCTTAAGCTCTTAGGCTCTTAAGCTCTTAAGCTCTTGACCTCTTAAGCCCTATACAGCCCGTTTAGGGGTTGTAGGGTTAAAGGGTGTAGGGTTGTAGGGTTTAGGGTTTCTGGGCCCTAGTCCTTATGGACCCTAAACCCACTTGGGTCGTCTCTAAAGAGGACTTCCAGATCGAGGAGGGCCTCGATCCACCCCCTTCCCCCCTCCCCCCCCTTGAGTCCCCGCTCGCTAGGGCTTCTGTGGCTTCGACGGCTCGAGCAAAGGCCAAACAAGGCTGGCCGCTGTTGAGCTAGCGTGGTCTGCGGAGGATAGTTGCGCCAGAAAGTCTGATTCCTAAACCTGTTTGAGGATCCACTTTCTAGATCCCCCCCCCCCCCCCCCCCCCCCCCCCCCCCCCCCCCCCCCCCCCCCCCCCCCCCCCCCCCCCCCCCCCCCCCCCCCCCCCTCCCCTAACCGACAAAATGAGGGTGTCGGAGCCAGCGATGGCCTCGACTGGACCTCCCGATGCCCCAGCGCTGACTTCAAGCCTCAGCCGCAGTGTTTTCAGCTCTTAATCCCAACTAACGGCTGCACCCTAAACCCTAAACCCTAAACCCCAAACCCCAAACCCCAAACCCCAAACCCTAAACCCTAAACCGCTGCACCCTAAACCGCTGCACCCCAAACTCCAACCTGAAGACGCTCCACTAAGCTGACCAGTGCGCCCAGTATCCGCGTGACCAGAAGTTTGTCTCACGGTTTAGGATTGGCTGTGGTGTTTCGGTTGGGAGTGTCTCCCTGAAAGCCCCTGAGCCCTCAACTATTCTTGTGCCGTGTGCTAAAGTCGGCTGACTACCCCCAGAGTCACCTATATGCCCTTAGCAAAAGGCGAACAAACCCAGTTGACAAGGCCATCTTCTCCTTCTAGAGGCATATGATTATACATATGAATATATACAGTTCCATATACACATACATATACATATATACATATATACACATAGTCCCTAAACTTCAAGCTCGAAATCGGCTACTACGCTAGGCACGCAGAACCCCGAGACGTGAAAGGCCAGCCAGCGGCCAAAGATGGATGTTGGAGAGCAGGAAGTTGAACTGAACCTTCAGCCGCACTTAGGGTTTCGGGTTTAGGGTTTAGGGTTTCGGGTTTAGGGTTTCGGGTTGAATCGAACTACGCTGTTTAGGGCTTGGAGGGTTTAGGGCTCTCTCTGTCGCATTGGCTTCGGGGGCCCAGAGCAGCAAGCGGGCCCGAGGGCCGACGGTAACACTCCAGGCCTGATTCAGAAGCCGCACGGCCCTAAACCCCGAACAAAACCCTGGGGTTTAGGGTTTAGGGTTTAGGGTTTAGGGTTCAGGGTCTAGGGTTTAGGGCAATAGGCCCCTCTACGCCTCTACGCTGCCACAACCAAAAGCCCCCCTAAGCTCCTAACACAACCCAGAAAGCCCCTCTAAGCCTCTAAGCCCCCCCCCAAACCCAACCCAAAAGGAAACCCTAAACCCTAAACCCAAAACCCTAAACCCTGACCCCTAAACCCTAAACCCTAAAGGCCCCCTACATGGTGCCGCCTCGACCTCCACCAGTGCCGACTCGGCCAAGCTCAGAGGTAGCGAGGCGCTGGTCCCCCCGGGCTGCCCTGGGCTCCAAGGGTTTAGGGTTTAGGATTTAGGGCTTAGGGTTTAGGATTTAGGGTTTAGGGTTTAGGGTTTATGCGATTGATCATCGCAGACCAGGGTTTAGGGTTTAGAGTTAAGGGTTTAGGGTTTAGGCCTTCAAGATCGTGTGGTGTGAGGTGGTTTAGGACTGCGCCAGAAAAGCCTGGTGCCACTTCTTCGGAGTCGGGAAGAGGGCTTCAGGTTCAGGGTGGAGTTCGAATATTGGGGCACATTTAATTAAAAAGCCCAAAACATAATATCTTTAAAAGCCCAAAACATAATATTTTAAGGGGCCAGTAATATAATACTTTGGGGCCATTACAAAATAGTGGCTAATTTAGTATTGAGTGTTTTCACGGTCCAAGTGCTTCCTTGAGTTGAGGGTTTCCGGGGGGTCTACGAGCCCAGGGTTTGAGAGGAGTGTCGCTTAGGGCCATGGGCTTGTTAGGGTTTAGGGTTTAGGGTTTAGGGTTTAGGGTTTAGGGTTTAGGGTTTAGGGTTTAGGGTTTAGGGTTGATACGTCAAGTTGGGAAACCCTAAACCCTAAAGCCTAAACCGTACAGACCCTCTAGACCCTCTAGACCCTAAACCTGTAAAGCCTGAATACTACACCCCATAGACCCTATAAGCCCTAAACCCTACACCTAAACCCTACAAACCCCACAGACCCGAACCCCCCCTAAACCCTAAACCCTAAACCCTAAACCCTAAACCCTAAACCCTAAACGCTAAACCCTACAGACCCCCAAGGTGCCCTAAGACTCAGGGTTCCCTGTAACCATGCTGGGAGGTTCATGGTACTTAGTAACCAATTCTAGCTGCACTTATAACTGTACCTATCACTGCACTGATAAACACATTAGGGCACTTGAAAAGGGCCTGAAAGTGGGTTATAGCCCTAAACCCTAAACCCTAAACCCCAAACCCCAAACCCTAAACCCTATGATTGGTTAACAAGTACCTTGAACCCTCCAAGTGGGCCTGTCTGCACGCGGCCATCCGCCGCAGCCACAGCGCTGGTCCCGAAGGAGGACACGGCCTTGGCCGCGAGGTCCTCCAGGGAGCCTTGGTGTGGGGTTTAGGGTTTAGGGTTTAGGGTTTAGGGTTTAGGGTTTAGGGTTTAGGGTTTAGGGTTTAGGGTTTAGGGTTTAGGCGGTTTAGGCGGTTTAGGGTTTAGGGTTAGGGAGCCTCGCGCGCTGCTTCAGGCCCTTGAAGACCCCACGAAACAAGCCGAGCTCCCAGTCGAAGACTTCACCTCTCTCTTTCCACGTTGGTTTAGATTTTTGGGTTTTGGGTAGCCTAAACCTTAAACCCTAAACCCTAAATAGATTCAATACCATCATGGGGGGACCATGCTTTGCCGAGGAGCTCGACTCTGGCCCACAGTCGCTCATGGCGGTGGTATCCCCGCTCGGCATCCTCGCAGGTCTCTTTGCGTGTGTCAGGGTTCAGGCTTCAGGGTTCAGGGTTTAGGGTTTTAGGGTTTAGGGCAATCCTCACCCCTAAACCTGGAAACTCCGTTGGGGCGTAGTTGACACCACAGCGGTCACTGGCTTCTGTCCACGCTTCTGGGCAAGACGGTTAAGGGTTAAGGGTTTAGGGTTTAGGGTTTAGGGTGTACGGTTTAGGGCAATCCTCACCCCAAAACCTGGAAATTCCGTTGGGGCGTAGTTGACACCACAGCGGTCATGAGTAGCTTCTGTCCACACTTCTGGGCAAGAGTTGGCTACAGTTCTTCCTGCCATGTATCTCCGGGTCGTGAAGGCTTTTTGTCCCAAGGTCTGCCGGATTGCCTTTAGGGTTGCTGTTCAGGATTCTCAACTAAGCCGAGAAGAAAAGGGGCATCGCCACAATCCTTCGGTATATCTACTATCAGAGGGCATATGGGAGTTTTCCCAAAATTAAGGTACCATTGCAGCTACGAAATTTGAAACAGCACGAACAAAAATGCTCAGTACCCCCCCCCCCCCCCCCCCCCCCCCCCCCCCGAAAAAAAAAAAAATAAAAATAATAATAATGTGATAAAAAGATAAATCATAATTGAAAGAATAAAACCACAAAACTCTCAAGCCAGGTTGGCCCCCCACTAAAGACCTCTGAACAAGACTCCTAGACCAGGATCCCCTCAACCCACGTAAGGAAAATAGAACCATATCCCAAGGCCTACCAGCAAGCCTCAATCGTAAACCTTGTGAAGACCAATCCCCTGAAGCTGGGTTCGGATTAACCGAAACCCTAAACGCTAAACCCTCAACCCTAAACCCTTGAAGCTTACAGGGCTTCCTGAAATAGCCAAGGATCACTTGCAACATCCAGTCAAAGGATGCGCACCCTGCAGCAATGCGCAAAGGCTGCTGATTGACCCCGAAGCAACTTCACATTTTGGGGGCGGAAAGCTTCTACACGAGGTACTTGCAAGGGGCCTGAAGAGAAACCATGCCAGATGGAGGCCACCCGCACGAAACCAGAAAACTGAGCGCGTTTGGGTTTGAGGGTGTAGGCTTCAGAAACCCCTTAAGCTCTGAAACCCCCAAACCCCCCAACAAAAACAAGACTCCCCAAACCCCGACAAAACCCTGAAGCCCTGACCCATTTAGAGCTCTCAATCCACTTCTGCAGCTGTATGGCATGAAGGTCCTCATCCTGCACAGTGAGCTTGCAGTAGCATGTGTGAACAGTGAGCTAACCCGCAACACCCCAGATTGCCGTAACTTGATTCGCTGAATTTCTGAAAAGAAAACCTACAAGCACGAAGGCATGTGCCGCGTTTGTGCAAGGAGGAGCTTTGAGACCGTTTCTAGCAGTTCAACGGCTGGGCGCGGAGCTTGTCAAGGGTTCCGGGGTGGAACCCCAAAATGGCCCTACAATCCCCTTAAACCGCCTTAAACCCTAAAAATCCCTAAGCCCCTCTGAAGACACATGTTCTTAGCCAGAACCTGCCCAGCTCCATGCTGGATAGGGGGGCCTGCGCCGGCAGCAATGCGATGCTCCCTGTGGAAGGAGAGCCACCTCATGAGGCTTCAGAGGTCTGAGGCCAAGCTTTTCTTATTGCTTTATTACTTTTCGACAAGGGGTTAGGCTGAGCATCGGTTGTACTTAGTGTGTTTTGGTTTATATCAGAGGTCCATTTTTTCTGCCTTTCGGCCCAAAAAACCACCCAACACAGCACACCTGCCCGAGGCTCCGGCAAGCTTCCGCCACCCTGCACGCGCACGGCCGCATGCTCTTATGCTCTTGGTGTTTTGGGGGCGGATGTAGGGTTCCCCCCCCCCAGCCCCCCCCAAAGGCTCCGAAGGATGCTGCGGAAGTGTTGAGGATCGGCACATGAGCAGTTGAGGGTCGCGTTTAGGGCGTGGGGGGGGGGGGGGGCCCTTTGAGTGTGTAGCTTTGATCTGGGCGAAGGCGGTACCAAGAAAGTGTTCACCGGTAGCCATGTGTGCGACGTATGGTAAGTCCTATGCCTCTATGGTACTTCCAAGACCAACAAACTCCGTCAGCCCCGGGCAAGGTACCCCAAACCCTTCAACCCCAAACCCTAAACCCTAAACTGTAAATTCTCAGGGCTTGGGGGTTCTACGCTGCTGATGCGGCGCCTTGGCGCGTTGAGCGCCCAACTGTCGTCTGCACTATCAGGGACGACCATTAAGTCAGGTCACAGGGTTTAGGGTTTGGGGTTTACTACCCCCTTGAGCCCTAAGGATTTAGGTTTAGGGTTTAGGGTACCCTGTAATATATATTTTTTTCATAAATTTCAATAAATAAACAAATAAATAAATATATATATATATATATGTGTGTGTGTAACACACATATATTCATTTTTATTGAATACCTTCAGTGCTGTCCTCCAAGGAGTAACTCGCTGCACGGCCACCGGCAGCACCCAGTATGTGCGTGTCCGCCTGGCCAGCACTGGCCACCCCAGGCCCTAGACCCTAGACCCTAGACCCTAGACCCTAGACCCTAGACCCTAGACCCTAGACCCTGCTAAACCCTAAACCCTAAACCCTAAACCCTAAACCCTAAACCCTAAACCCTAAACCCTAAACCCTAAACCCTAAACCCTCTGGCCAGAAGCTTTCAGGGTTTCGGAGCTTTAGCTGCCTCGCTGGGCGGGGGTGGCGGAGGGGAGGTTTGGGGGGTTCAGCGCACAAACCAGGGGGGGAATACCATGGAGAGGGCGCGAGGATTCAAGCGTCGAGCAGTGTAAGGCACACACCAAGAGAAGGGCCATGGCCTGTTGCGCTCAAACTAAACAGTGTAAACAGCTTCGGTTCGTCGGGGTCTCCATTCCCACATTCTTGTCCCCTCAGCCCTCAACACCCTGAACCCTAACTTTTTCAGAGTTGACAAGTCGCGTTGAACGATCAGTTTCCAACATAAGACGAGCCGGGCGTGCTGGGATGATGGGCTGGTGGCCGCTGTCCTCCAACACCACCTGAACAAGGGCACGCTTGCACCTTTCAATCAGCTACAGTTTCAAATACTACATTCTTATGAACACGAGACTCTCCGTGGAAGTGGGCTATTTAATTGACGTGTTCTCACGACTCTAGAGATTCCACGATTCTCTTTGAGGGCTCCGGGGGCGTGAAGGAGCTGAGGGGTTTAGGGATTTCAGGGTTTCGGCCGTTGGGGTCTAGGGGCTGTGGGGAAAACCCACGCGCCAATCCCTGTACACTAAATCCGACGCTCTGAATACGCCCAGGTCCGAGGTGTCCAAAGCCCTGACACGTTCAAGCTCCCCAGCTCATCCCCCTCTCGCTTCCAAAAAAGCTCCAGCAATTCAAATAGATACTAGCTAGTAGCACAAGGAAAAAAGATGAAAGTGCAGACCGGGATCTGCAACCCAGCCAAACCTTGCGAGTAGACCCGAAGATGGTCCCTGGATGAGCAACCCGGCCTCAACTTCCTCAGACTCTGGAGTCGAAGAACCGGACGCAAAACCCTGAACACCTCGTGTAGGGTTTAGGGTCTTCTTGTCGTCAACGTCCGGCTGCAAAAGGCGTTGCTGTTTCGGAGCAACTTACGTGTTGCACTTTTGCTACACGGTGTCGCAGCGTGCGCCATGACGTGTCGGGTGTCGGTGTCTTTTCCGACTGGATCCAAGCACTTGCGCACGGTTCCACCCAGCTGTTGCGAATGCATCCCTCGACCCCCTTGCCGCGCTTAAAGCATGAGAATTGTCGCCTGAAGGAACAGAACCTCACACCAGACCCTCCATCCCCAAAACCCTGCAAGTGCCAAACCCTCAACTCGCGGTCTGGCTCTTAGCCTGAACCGCAAACCCTGCTCCCGAGACCTTGGGTTTAGGGTTTAGGGTTTAGGGTTTAGGGTTTAGGGTTTAGGGTTTAGGGTTTAGGGTTCAGGGCCGAGGGTATTAGGGTCCTAAACGGAAACCCTCAGGGGTTGATACGCTCTAAACCAACAAACGGAGCTTGGCACCTCCACGGACTCTGCATCTGCCGAAGCCACAGCGACCCTCCGTGCCAGGACTCTCTATCCATGTGTTGCACGTAAGTTCATATGTGCATGCACACATACCTGTATATATGTATTTCTATATATGTATAAATAAATAAATAAATATATATATATATACATACATATACATGTATGTGTATAAATATACGTATGTGTATGTACGTCTGTAGATGTATATGTACGTGTGTGTATCTATATATGTATAGATAAAAGTTAGTGAATGGTACCCTTCGGGGGAAAGCGACAGCCAAATGCGGGCAGCATATACGCTCAAGTTACTTGTTGGTACCTACAAGGGGAAGGTCTCCATAAAACATTCAAAGCCCACTTGAACCCTAAAGCCCACCTGAACCTAAATAGGCTTTATAGGCTAGGGGTTCTGGGATGGAATGGCCAAAGGTCAAGCGTTGAGACTCCCGACTCTCCTGTACCGCACCGTCTATGCCACCTGATAGAGGGGTCGAAATAGTTACGAAAAATATTCCATTTCCGCCCCATTGCAATTTTACTATATCAACCCCCAAAACCCGAATACCCTAGGCCCTAAACCCGAAACCCACACCCTAATTATTAAGACCCGTTTTAAATTTTGTAGAAACCCCCAAAACCCCAATACCCTAGGCCCTAAACCCTAAACCCTAAACCCTAAACCCTAAACCCTAAACCCTAAACCCTAAACCCTAAACCCTAAACCCTAAACCCCACACCTAGACCCCTTTTTGTAGAACATCTCTGCGGCGCCTTACCAGCGACCAGGCCGGCACCCGGAGAAAGACCTTCTTCCGGCCATCGTGGATGTCTGTCCTGGGGGCCGGGCCGTGAGCCTTATATGGGTTGCGTAGTTAAGGTTTCCTTTTGCTCGGAACACCGTCTACGTTCCTCAGCTGCAAGCCAGGGGAGGCATTCTTCTACAGCTTCGAGCGCCGTTGAGGCTTCCCGCAGCTTCCCCAATCCCAACGATCGATATCCCAGACAGGTACCCTGAACCCTAGACCTCCCAAATCCTAAAGTTATACTCCCCTTAGAACCTCAATAAAAAACATGTTTTTAATTGCCTCTTGGGTTTATATAAACAAAAACAAAAAATAATTCCCAAGGGGGATATAGAAGGTCCCGGTGGCTTTCAGGGGCCTTGGTGGTGGCCATCGGCTGGAATGTTGCCCAAACTCTTGAGGGAAGCATGGGCCACAAGGTACTGAAGTCAGACGGAGAAAATGTCGCCGTTTCGTACTCGGAAAGCAACTACAGTAGGCTAGGATGGCCCTGAAAACCCTCTGAATACGATTTTTCCTAGCCGCAAAAAAGGAAGATATGAAAGCACTTGAAGTCGCGAGACTCCGCCTCCAGATTTGCAAGGTTCTTGGTAACAAGGCAGGAGCAGAGGCGAACCCGAGTTTCGGGTTTAGGGTGTAGGATCCAGAACGTTTGAGGCGTACAGGGCTTATGTCAAGGGCCAAGTTCCTCCCCTCCCTCCCCCCAACCACCACCACCGCCACCACAAAAACACTCTTTACCTCCCTAAACCCTGAACCCTGAACCCTAACCCCCCCAACCCCCAAACAATACTTTAAGGTAGCCTTGATTGGGGGCAGCTTTGGAGCTCAAGAGCCGAAGCCTCCCCCCCCCCCCCCGGGGAGGGTTTCTGGCAGCCAAGCCGCAGCATCACACGCTGCCTTGTGCGAACTGGGGGGGTTAGGGTTTAGGGTTTAGGGTTTGGGCGTTAGGGTTTAGGGTTTGGGGTTCGGGGTTTGGGGTGTGGGGTTTGGGGAGAGGCACGGCCAGTGATGAATTGGCCCTCACATTCCTGTGTCCACACGGCTTGCGAGCCACGCCTGGAGGGCAAGGCCCATCCTTGCTCAAAGCCCTGAAACTAAGCAGCTGTTCCCACCTGATTCAGCACCGCCTGTATATCAGGCCATGTTGACGCAGCACCCTGCAATCCAACCAAGAGACACGTGCATCCCGAGTAGATCTCAACTCCCAACTGCCGGGCGTCGCCAAAACGCTGGACGGCCTTAAACTTCAAACTGCTGTGCCGCCGCTGCGGCAGTCGTCGGGAATGTTGCATTCCCCATACGTGCCGGGGCAACGGTGACCGGCAACGCATGTCTCGTTGCCATCCTTCCATCTGGTGCCATGCAGCTTCCTATACGGTGCGGCGACATTTGACATGACCGCTGCAGTTCGTCCGCTATCTGATTGCGGAAGTTTCTGGCATTCCGCCCTGCATCGTCAGGCGATTCAGCAATGTCAAGTCAATCATCGCACGGATTTTCAAGGATGTATTCCCTAAAATCCCCCTCAGAGGTTCCCGCAATACACTCCCAATGTGGCCCTTGTATTCCCGTTTAGGATCTGTCAAGAGGGTTCCCAAACCCAAGGGTACAATATTAGGGGCCCAAGGTAGAGTCTTATGATTCTAGAGGTGCGAAGCACAGAGGAGCAGCAGCCGATAGCTTACAAGTTCATTGCTGTCCTTTCACACCCTAAACCCTAAACCCTAACCCCTAAACCCTAAACCCTAAACCGTGGAGCCGCGAGGCCCTAAAGCATCAACACACTTTGAGCATTCAGCCCTTAAGCCTTCAACCCCACAAGTTCCGAGCCTAAAGAGGCACTTGCTTTACGAAGCTTTCTATTTCGAGTATCCCCATACAGGACTCCAAAAGAACAAGGATATGAACCCTACCTCTCACAAGCCGCAAACCCAAAACCTTGAGCACTAAGCACTCAACCCTAAACCCCAAACCCTGAAACACTAAACACCAAACCCTAGACCCTAAAACTCCCAAGCCGTTAAAAACCTAAACCTGAAAGCCTGAAAGCCTGAAAGCCTGAAACTCTGAAACCCGGAAATCCTGAAAGCCTGAAAACCAGACCCCAAACCCTGAAACCCTGAAACCCTCAACCCATACTGAAACCCGAAACCCCCAACCCAAACCCCAAACCCTCCAAATCCTGAAACCCGCAACCCTAAATCTCAAAAAGCCAAAATCCCAAACCCCCCAAAAAACCCTTAACAGCCCTGAAGAACCAACCCCCCGCCCCCCCCCCCCCCCCCAAAAAAAAAAAACAACCTTAAAAACAAACCCTACGCAACCCTAAAAAGAAAACCCTAACAAAAGCCTTAAACGAAAAAAACCGTAGAAAACACCTAAACAGCCCTTTCAAAAAACACCCTTAAAGAACCCTAAACAAGCCCAAGCCCGCCTGATGAGGAGGCGCCCGCTGCCGTCGATGGGCCCGCCCAGGCCCAGGGAGCCGCCAGTGGTGGAAATCACGTCCTGGGATTGAGGGCTTCTAGGGGGTTGATGGGGGTTTGTTCAGGGTTTGTAGGAATTTATAGGGGTTTTTTGAGGGGGTTTTATGGGGGTTGACTAAGGGCTTATAGGAATTTATATGGGTTTTATTAAGGGGTTATAGGGGTTTGTAGGGGTTTGTTAAGGGTTTTTAGGGTTTCGAGGGGCTTATGGGGTTTAGAAGGGTTGATAAGGGTTGATAAGAGCTTATAGGGGTTTATCGGGATTGAGGGTTTAGGGCTGAGGGTTTTTTGGCTCGGGGGAGTGGGGTTTGGGTTTTTGGTTTTAGGGTCTAGTGGTGTAGTGTTTGGGTTTAGTGGCTTCGATTTGCCGGTTCGGGGGGGTGGGTACGCATGCGGTTTGGGTCGTTTGGGGTCTGGGTTGTTTGGGAAGCAAGGTCCAGGGTCGGGGTTAAGGGGTTCTATGGTTTAGGACTTTGGGGGTCAATCGTTCTGGATGTTGTATATTAGGATTCGAGGGTTAAGGGCTTCAGGATTCTGTTTAGGGCTTCTTAGTTCTTTGCTTTTTTGGGAAGGAAGAAGAGGTTTGGGCAGAACGTCTGGGATGCCGAATCCCCCAAATACCCCAATCCCTGATCCCAAACCCTGTATATGTAAAGTGTATACAAATATGTATGTATATGTATATACACATATATATACATATATATATATATAATACATACAATTTTCAATCAAAAAGCCCGCCCGACCCCACCCATAACCCTAAGCCTCAAACCCACCCCTTAACAGCCCACCCCCAGCCCGCCCCCCCCCCCCCCCCCCAAAAAAAAAAAAAAAAAATCCCGAGTCCCAGCCGCGAGAGGTAGGGGGAGAGCGCCGAGGCCGTCGCAGCGCGCGCCGAGGCCCAGGCCGGGTCCCAGGAAGGCGGGCAGGGTGGCCTCCAGGTGACGGGTGTGGGGTTTAAGGTTTTGGGGTTTACGAGTTTGGGGTTTAGGGATGAGGGTTTGGGGTCTGGGGTTTGGGTTTAGGGTTTGGGGTTTGGGGTTTAGGGTTTGGGGTTTAGGGTTTAGGGTTTGGGGTTTAGGTGGGTTCAGGCTTGGGGAGACAGCACCGAGGTCCGCGCTGCCGCCGAGTGCATGGCCACCTCGCTCAGGGCAGTGGATTCAGGCACATGGCAAACTCCAAGCAGTAGTGTGTTAGGGTTTAAGGTTTAGGGTTTCGGCTTTAGGGTTTGGGGGTACTGTATTTTCACAGGTTCTACTTGATGATGCTGTAATCACCTAAAATACACTGTATCATGATGCGTTCTATTTGGTACTTCTTGACAATGACATCTGGCTTTAGGCTGCGGATCAGACCAAGCAAGACTCAGATCAACCTTTAACCCTAAATCCTAAACCCTAAAACCCTAAAACCCTAAAACTCTAAATGCACCCTTGAACCCTAAAACCCTCCAGAGAGGCCGTAAAAGGTTTGAAGAGGCGCAGCAGGCCGAGCCTGACCGGGGCGCAGGGAGCGCGCCACGGAGGTGAACGGCGCCAAGGAAACCTTTATGGTCGATTTTGGAGGTTTAGGGTTTAGGGTTTAGGGTTTAGGGTTTAGGGTTTAGGGTTTAGGGTTTAGGGTTTAGGGTTTAGGGTTTAGGGTTTAGGGTTTAGGGTTTAGGGTGCAGGGTTTACGGTTTTTGTTTTGGGTTTAGGGTTTGGGGTCGTAAGAATGAGCGTAATAAAGTAAGCAGGGTTCAGGGTTTAGGGTTTAGGGTCTGGGAGTTCTCAGGCGCCTCCGCCCCCTTCGATACTGAAAAGAAGCCCAAGATTCAAACTAAATGAAAGCCGCAGGGCTTGCAAGGTGGATAAACATCCAGATGAAGATGGTTCGGGTATTTTCTCAATTAGGTTCAGGGTTTAGGGTTTCGGGTTTAGGGTTAGGGGACCCCCGTATATATCCCCAAATTATACTATCATCCTCTGATAAAGCCTCAACATGGTAGTTGGGACACCAACTCCAGTTTCTTGGGGGGCCGAGGTTCTTCCCCGGCCTCGGTGGAATTGTAGGTCTTGGCTTGCTGGTTCTGAGTAGGTTTAGGGTTTGTAGGGTTTGTAGGGCTGTAGGGGCTGTAGGGTCCATAGGGTCTGTAGTGCTTACAGATGGAGCTCAGTAGCGCATTGCTTTTTGGGAGACTCGGCTGTTTAAGATTGGAACTACTTTAGAATCCTACAAGCGGTTCCTGGTACTTACCTACAAGCAAGTAGCCGCGTGTAGGGCTGAACCCTAAACCCTAAACCCTAAACCCTAAACCCTAAACCCTAAACCCTAAACTCCAAACATCCCCAAGGGCGGTGCGGGCTTAGCGCCTGCAGCCCTATCAGCCTCCCAGCGCCGAACCCCCCCCCCCCCCCCCCCCCCCCCCCCCCCCCCCCCCCCCCCCCCCCCCCCCCCCCCCCACCCTAAACCCTAACCTAAGGTTTAGGGTTTAGGGTTTAGGGTTTAGGGTTTAGGGTTTAGGGTTTAGGGTTTAGGGTTTAGGGTTTAGGGTTTAGGGTTTAGGGTTTAGGGTTTAGGGTTTAGGGTTTAGGGTTTAGGGTTTAGGGTTTAGGGTTTAGGGTTCTAAGCCCTAAACGCAAAAACCCTGATCCCTAAACTCCTAGGAGCATCCTTAACACGCCGGGGCGCCGCCACGCCCATGGCCATGCACCCCTGTGGGCTGGGCGCCAAGGGCGCTGGCTCCTGGTGAAGGATTTAGGGTTTAGGGTTTAAGGTTTAGGGTTTAGGGTTTAGGCAGAAAGGGTTTTAGGGTTTTAGGGTTTTAGGGTTTTAGGGTTTTAGGGTTTTAGGGTTTTAGGGTTTTAGGGTTTTAGGGTTTTAGGGTTTTAGGGTTTTAGGGTTTTAGGGTTTTAGGGTTTTTGGGTTTTTGGGTTTTTGGGTTTTAGGGTTCAAGGGTTTAAGGTTTTAGGGTTTTAGGGTTTAGGGTTTTAGGGTTTTAGGGTTTCAGGGTTTCAGGGTTTCAGGGTTTCAGGGTTTAGGGGTCAGTGACCTTCTGGGTTACCACGTTCGAAGAAGGTGTGGCTGACAGGTGACAATCCTTGAAGCGGTTCGCGGTGTACGATATCCTCGTATAAGGAGTCATGGTGATCACAAGAACTATAGATGATCACGATGAGCCGAATGCTCAGAGTGCTCAAACTGGTCATCACAAAAACTCCCAATCATCATAACACCTAAAGTCGTCATGAAACCTGGCAATCATGATGACAATCAAAATCATAAAAGTACGGTTTGAAGTACCCTAAATAAGGGTTATAAGTATAGTTACCCTACATCTCAGAATCAACTAGTAGTTATAAGTACCCTACATAAGTCTTTCATTGTTATAAGGACAGTTCCCCTACTTCTCAGAATCATCAGAGGGCCTCGACGATCATCTGGTAGTCTCCTGGGGGCAGCTCGATCTCCAAGGAGCTCCGCCTGATTGTGTGACTGGGGGACCCTAAACCCTAAACCCTAAACCCTAAACCATAAACCCTAAACCCTAAACCCTGGGGGGGGGGGGGGGGAGGGGAGGGGGGTTCCGACATTCGGGGCGTACCTGATTGGGGTCCTTATTATAAGGGGATCCGACTATTTGGGGGGTCTATTTTAGTTGTCCCCTATCTTCGCAAAATTCCCATGTAGGGAGCCCGATGCCCATGCCAAAAGAGACGCTGCAGTTCAACCCTAACCCTGAACCCTCGACCCTGAACCCCTAAGTGCTGTAAACCCTAACCCCCTAAGCATCCTAAACCCTAAACCCTAAACCCTAAACCCTTGTTGCCAACGACACCTGCACCGCTGCTCACCGACCCAGAGGCCCTCCTCCGTGACCAGCGCTACACGGACCTTGAGATGTTAGGGGGCTTCCGATGAGAGAGGGTTTAGGGTTTAGGGTTTAGGGTTCAGGGTTTAGGGTTTAGGGGGCACCCCTGTTTTTTTTTGGGAGGGGGGGGAGGGGAGGAGTTTGAGGCATATGGTATGGGGGGGGGCTTATTAGGGTAGCCCGTTTTGGGGGGTTTCGATGAGGACTATCCAATTTTGGGGTATGTGAGGGGTATGCTTATCGTGGAAGTACCATGTAAGGTTCACAGCTGAGGTATTGGGGGTCGCAGCTGCTTTGCTTGAGGGTTTCTTTTGTTTTGAAGCTGCGTTTCTGTTTGGGCTCAGGGTTTTTCAAGATTTGGGGTTTGCTGCAGGTGTTTCAGGCTATGTTCGTTTGGGTTCGTGACGTTTGGGGGCTTTTGCTCAAAGTCCGTAACTTGGGATGTTCCCCCTTATGATGGCAGATATTCATAGGGATGATAATCGGGGGTTACTAAGACTACATATTCCCTGTTTAGGACTGCTAGAAAAAAGGGCAGCATCCTAACCCGTAACCCTAAAACGCGAAGCCCGCCCTAGAGCCTTTAGGGTTTAGGGTTTAGGGTTTAGGGTTAGAGGGCAAGTCGGCTCGGAAGCCATCCACTAGGCCGCCGGCGTAGTGGGCGATGAAGGGTGACCAGGCCGCAATGGTAACCTGACGTTCCGAAACTCGAACTACTGGGTTTAGGGTTTAGGGTTTAGGGTTTAGGGTTTAGGGTTTAGGGTTTAGGGTTTAGGGTTTAGGGTTTAGGGTTTAGGGTTTTGGGAGAAACCGAAGAGAAACAAGGGTATTCTTGATTTGGTGATAAGGGATCCTCACCCTAAACAGAGGAATACGACTGCTGTTAGATCGCCTCCTGGCAAGATGAGCAGGCCCCAGTCACCAAACGAACGCAGTTTCAATTCCTACATTCTGCTCCATAGGCCCCCCCCCAAACTCTAAATCCTAAACCCTCAACCCTGAACCCTGAACCCTAAACCCTCAACCCTCAACCCCAAACTCCACCACCACCACCACCACCACCAACTTTCTAAGGGACTGCCAGGTGGGTTGTTTGCGCCGTGTGGGGTGCCTTGAACCTTGAACCTTGAAACTTGAACCCTAAACCCTAAACTTACCCTAAACCCTAACCCTAAACCCTAAACCCTAAACCCTAAACCCTAAACCCTAAACCCTAAACCCCAAACGTGCCTTGAACCCTGGAACCCTACATCCTGCATCCTGAGCCCCAGAGGCTTTGAGAAGCTTCAGCAAGCGTCGGGCAGTGCCTCAAGCCCCTTGGGCCCCAAAACCTACACTACCTTAGCTTTGGAGTAGACCCTGGAAAAAAGGTATATACTTTTTAGGTAATAAGTAGCAATAATAGGAACCCAGAACAAAAAAAAGTATTAAAGTATAGTACTCCAAAGCCCAGCTACCTAAACCCTCATCCTTAGGGGAACTACCTAAACCCCCCAAGAGGGGGGGTACAACTTTAAGGGCTCACTGTTGCGGGGTTTAGGGCGTTTAGGGTTTTAGGGTTCCTAAGGGGGCCCCAACCCCCCCCCCCCCCCGACCGACCCCAAAAAAACTCTCCCGGCCAAGATTCCACAGATGGCTGCCCCACCTGCCATGCGGCGAAGCAAGAGCCGAACCACAACCCCACTAAGCCCTGCCCCAAACCCCATTAAGCCCTTCTAAGCCCTTCTATAAGCCCCAACATGAGCCCTATTACATCCGACTTGAAGTCCGCCAAATAAACCCTGAAGCCACGGGAGCCACGCTTCCCTTAGCTCTGAGAATGGCAGCTCGCCAGAGCTGGGTTGCTGTTAAGGATTCATTAGCAGCAATTTGGGGTTTAGGGAAAAATGATAGGCTCCAGCGTTGCAGGTTTCTGACAGCAGCCACTCAGCTTACCAAAGCCCCAAAAAATCTCAACAAAAACCCGAAACCCAGACTCCATCTGAAGCCGTGCTCTTCATTTTAGCACGGTTTTCTGAGATCTTTTGCTGCCTTCACCGGCAGCTTCATGGAGGAGGGTAGCGCCCGGATGTTCCTGCAGTGGGTCGCGCGCTTCTTGTGGCTTTTCAGGGGTTGGGTTCTCCCCCCGCCCCCCGTCTGGAAGGAAGCTAAATAGAACCTAAACCCTAAAACCGGGGGCTTCGTGATTTTAAGGTCTCAGGATCGAAAGGTGGACAAAGCTTCAGGTGACGAACTCGGCAAGACCCTGACAACGCGGAACGCAGGCGACTAACTGGGTTTAGACTAAACCCCAAAAACAAGGGCTGGTTCGGGTGGAGGCTTGCGCCCTGTACTAGCCACGTTACTTTTGGCAAAACAGTGCGCTCGATACCCTCGACCCCAATCCCCGAACCTTGTAAGCTGTGCCAGAGCGCCCCCCAATGACCCTCTATGATTCCCTAAGTACCTGCTAGTAAGGGCCCTTTCACCCTACGAAGGGTAGTCGGGGCGGGGGGTGTATAGGTACAAAAACTCGGAGCTTCAAGCTCCACCTCGAAAATAACCCTTCCTCGGTCGCATTGATGGTAGAGCTCAGGGTTTGCATTCTTATTACACACTACCACTCACAGCCCTACAAGACAGTAGGTTACAACCCAACCCCGGAACCCTACCAGGTGTGCCTTCAACCGTTCCGAAAACATGTTCGTGCCCATGGCTCTACGTTTCGGCAGTCGAGGAACTTCAAATAATCCTCGTAACCTACTCCAGGAGCCTTCTGAAGACCAGTGTCATGCGCTTGTAGTCTTCCAAAAAGGCCACGACTAACATGTCTCTACGTACCTAATTTGAGCCTCCCCTATGCCAACCCCTGATGATAAACCCCCGAAGCTGGCCCTCCCTATAAACCCAATGGACCCCCTCTACTAAGCATGAATTAGTTTAGGGTTTGGGGTTGAGGGTTGGGATGTCCCCCCTTAAAAAATAGTCCTTAATAGGGATTACAATAGGGGGTGCTATAATCCCTAACAAGGAGCTGTTAATCTAGGGGGGGACATCCCGAGTTGAGGCTTCAACCCCCTAAACCCTAAACCCTAAACCCTAAACCCTAAACCCTAAACCCTAAACCCTAAACCCTAAACCCTAAACCCTAAACCCTAAACCCTAAACTCCCAACCCTAGACTCCAAACCCCAAACCGTGAGCCAGGGTGCAAGTGGTTCGTCGACTCAAAGGCGTTCTCTGCCTTCAGGTCGGAACCGAGGTCCATCATCCTGACTCTTCGGGTAGTTACATGGGGATGTCCGAACATCGGCGTACCCCTCAATATCCCCAACATGCTACATAATCCCTTTAAAAGAGCCATCCCCCAAAATGGGTACCCCTGTCTTCGGAAACCCCCATAAGTGGTCCCTTAATCTGGGGAGCCCTGGTATACCCTTCTATACCTTATGAAACCCGAAGGCCCATGCTTCATGGCCCCCAAGACACTCGGAACTCGAGGGTTTGGTGTGCAAGCCTTAGGGCTTAGGGTTCCCCCAGCCTCAGGAATCTGCATAGGGTTTGGATTTCAGGGTCCAGGGTTTAGGACTTAGGGTTGAGGGCTTAGTGGGTGTAGATCTATGTTTTTAAGGCCTTGGAGCAGACAGGGTGTAGGATTTAGGGTTTGGGGTTTGGGGTTTAGGGTTTAGGGTTGTGGGTTGAGGGTTTAGGGTTGAGGGTCAAGGTGTAGGGTTTGGGGTTTGGTGTTTGATTGGGCTTTGAGTGGATCACCCCAAAGAAAGGGGGACTGAGGGCACCGCTGGTCATTTCTACACACGATAGCATACTATACCTAGGTTCCCCAGCAGAAACGGCAAATTAGGTTTACAAGGGATCCTACGGCCCAAAAACGGGGAGAAGGGTACTACTGGGCATCCGAGATACTCTATGCCTTCAGCTACAGTTCCCAACTCTGAACCCTAAACCCTAAACCCTAAACCCTAAACCCTTTTGGGGGTGAGAGGGGCTTTCTTCCTTTTGGGCAACCAAAAGTCTGTCCTCGTCACGCTATCGCAGTGCACGCTGCTTCCTTGCAGGCAGGCCTAAGCCTTAAGCCTTAAACCCCTAGCCCTTATAACCCTAAACCCTAAACCCTAAACCCCAAGCAAAGACTGGCCCTCAAACCTCAGCCGGTAAAGAATCCGGGGGGGGGGGGGGGGGGGTCATCTTGGGGGTCATATTTGAAAAGAGACAAGAGAAGCCGTGAGGAGTGCAACCTGAGGGGTTCAAGTTTGGATCGCTCACATGGTAGTATATGCTGTACCTTGTATGATATGTTATATTATCTCGTATATTGAATATTGAATATCGTTTATTATCTATCTATCTGCCTCTATCTATCTATCTATGTATATATATATATATATATATTTATTTATTTATTCATTTATTTATATTTATATATTTATAAGTGTACGCAAAGCTTGCATAAACCATCCCCGAACCCTCAAATCTAAACGCAGCCTGCGGCATCGTCGGCGGCACCGAGGCCGATCGTTACGAAGAACGGAACCGCGTCGTGCGGGCAGCCTCGGCAAACCTGGGCCATCTTGACTTTGGGGTGGCGACTTTGGGTGTCGGGCGCTGGATTCTTAGGTGCTTGTTGAGGGCGGTAAGGAAGGGCGGACATGTCATTTGTTTCGCTCCTTTGGATTCGCACAGTCCTCGAGTACGGAGTGTAGGGACAGGCCGGAAGACAAGAAACTTGGGCTAGAGTCCCCGACGTGAAAGGCAACGTTGCGCTTCAGCAAGCCTTCAGTGCTACCGGGTTTCTTAGCAGAGTTGCGATTCAAACCGATAGAAAAACTGCTTATGAATAGGTTGCCGTTTGAGGAAAGATGGAACGCGCAACGCATGTAGTCACCTAGGAGAAGAGGATCCTCGTTCCTTGTCATAAGCCAATCGCTTTTTGCTTTCAATTTTCAATTTTAGGGTCCAGGCTTAAGCTGAAGAGGCCACCCACTACCTCAGGAACGACAGCGGTTTAGGGTTTAGGGTTAAAGGTTTCGGGTTTAGGGGTGCCCTGTGTTTCGCTAGAAGATGCAACCCCTTATACGCATGGCACACCAAGAGGGACCGCCAGTTACAGCAACCCAAGCGCCAGCAAGGCTTTGAAACCCTAAACCCTAAACCCTAAACCCTAAACCCTAAACCCTAAACCCTAAACCCTAAACCCTAAACCCTAAACCCTAAACCCTAAACCCAAAACCCAAATAACCCTAAACCCTAAACCGCCTCAAAGTCCCTTAACCCTTCTGGTGAGCCTCTATGTCGGTGCTCCGGAATCTCAGCTCGTAGCTACCTCGATGGGTAGGAGATGGGGATGCAGCCACTCTACTTATTTCCGGGCACCAGGCTCCAAGGCCTTGAGGGGCTTTGGACTCCCTAAACCCTAAACCCTAAACCCTAAACCCTAAACCCTAAACCCTAAACCCATTTTTAGGGTCTGGGTTTGGGGTTTAGGGGTAGTATGGGCCAGCTTATCCGAGCTCGGGGCTTTAGGGCTTGCGAGTTTGTTTCGGGCTTGCGGCTGAAGCATCTGTGGCTTAGGCCGCCGTCGGTTTAGGGTTTAGGGTTTAGGGTTTAGGGTTTAGGGTTTAGGGTTTAGGGTTTAGGGTTTAGGGTGTAGAGTTTAGGGTTTAGGGTTTAGGGACTCCCTACATGGTTACAGCACCACATTCCTCTCAAACTCACTGGTTCTGCGCAGGGGCCGGAACTAGGTTATAAAAACATAAGCCCTTTTGGTCTAAAGGGGCTTATAAGGGAACCCAAGCCCGTCACCATGTCTTGCCCTTAAAGGGGATCTCAGGCCAGCAGCTCCCTCTCAGAACAAAGAACAAACTAGCTATGCTATAATCCTATTTGTAGGATCAACCCCCGGCAGAAGCCAAAAGCAAAAAAGCGATCCCGAGCCCCAAGCCCCAAGCCCCAAACCCTAAACCCCAAACCCTATACCCTAACCCTCAAACCCAAGACCCTAAACCCTCAACCCTTCCCCCAACCCTAAACCCCAAACCCCCAAACCCCCAAACCCGCAAACCCCCAAACCCCCAAACCCCCAAACCCCCAAACCCCCAAACCCGCAAACCCCCAAACCCCCAAACCCCCAAACAGCCGAAAACCCCCAAACCCGCACAAACCCCCAAACCCCAAAACCCCAAACCCCCAAACCCCAAACCCCAAAACCCCTAAACCCCTAAACCCCTAAACCCCTAAACCCCTAAACCCCTAAACCCCTAAACCCCTAAACCCCTAAACCCCTAAACCCCTAAACCCCTAAACCCTAAACCAAATCCGCCTGGTTGGAGCTGGAAGACCACGCCAGGGCCCACAGCGCTGGAACTTGGCATCACTTCCATGAGGCCTCTCCCAAGTTCCGTCATTTCTGCTTGTGTCTCCGATAACCCATATGAAGGGGTTTAGGGTTTAGGGTTTAGGGTTTAGGGTTTAGGGTTTAGGGTTTAGGGTTTAGGGTTTAGGGTTTAGGGTTTGGGGCAACACGTTCTACTATTCCTAGAAAATAAGCAAGCCCAGATGCCTAAGCAAGGTCATCTTTTGGCCATCCGGGATTTAAGACTTAGAGTTTCGGGAACCTAGCAGACGAAGGGCGCCCAGAACCCATGGCTCTTAAGATCAGGGAGTAGCGGAACTGCACGTCATGGTTGGAGTCGAGGAAAACCCTAAACCCTAAACCCTAAACCCTAAACCCTAAACCCTAAACCCTAAACCTTCAGTGGAAGTTTTGGGGTCTTTTCTCTTTTTAATCAGCAGAGAGGGCCTCGATGAACCTCGATGGACATTCGCGGTGCCAAGATGTCCTCTGGTCCGCTTGGCTTGACGCAACATGGGGGGTTTCCGACATTAGGGGGTACCTTATTGGGGAACCCTAAACCCTAAACCCTAAACCCTAAACCCTAAACCCTAAACCCTAAACCCTAAACCCTAAACCCTAAACCCTAAACCCTAAACCCTAAACCCTGGGGGGGGGGGGGGGGGGAGGGGAGGGGGTTTCCGACATTAGGGGTACCTCATTGGGGGTCCATATTACAAGGGAATCCTGTTGTTTGGGGGGGTCGGTTGTAGGGGTCCCTTATTTTCGTAAGCTCCCGTATGGGGTTGAGGGTTTAGGGTTTTGGGGCCTCACCTTAATGCCCAGTTGCCAGTTACCCGACTCGTAGGGCAAACTTGATTTTTCTGCGCACTGGCAACTGCAGAACCTACCTTCTGGAGGATTTGCTGGCGCTATGAAGTTTGGTGTTTGCAAGCTGGCATGCTCACTCTTCGGGCCAGGCTGCAAGGTGCAGCAGAACAACCACCCCGAATGTCCCCTCTGTGGGCTTGATTCCTGAATCCTTGAACGGGGTTTGGGTTTAGGGACCCTAAGCCCTGCCTAAGCCCTAAACCCTAAACCCTAAACCCTAAACCCTACACCCTAAACCCTAAACCCTAAACCCTAAACCCTAAACCCTAAACCCTAAACCCTAAACCCTAAACCCATCAAAGCAAACTTGTCAGAGGCTCCGCGGGCTCCGCCACAATGCGGAGCACGGCCGGGGCATCGAGGGACACTGCAGATGTGGCTGCCCCACCTCTTCGGGAATGAGGTACCCTATGTAATCCCCTTAAAGGGTATGTATATATATATATATAATTTATATTAATATAGGGCCCGAATTCGTTCAATACAGCAAGTCTTTCTTTTTGGCGGGGGGGGGGAGTAAATGGGGCTTGAAGCTGCCAACTTCGGAAGGCGGGGGACGGGATTGACGCCGGTAGGCTTCTGAGCTGCCTGCCTGCCGGGATGGCGAAAATCTCCGAGAAGAGCATGCGGTCCCTTAGAAGGCTTCATTGGCTTGAGGGTACACCCTGAACTCCACCCCGATGTCCGCGGCTCGTGCTACCTCGGGATCCCCAAGGCTGATTTTGTTCACGGGCTAAAGCTCGCAAACCTGTATGTAAAAACCAGGAGTGTCGGGAATGCAGCCCTCCGCCCGAAAGGGCTTGCTCTGAACTGGGGGCCACCGCAAAGAGGTGCTTCGGGTTTGGGATTTGTGGCCTTGACTAGGGATCGTCGTGGTTCAGAGTGTATAGGACTTTTGGAGTTTCGGCGAAGTCCGAACCCGAGGGGCAGAATATTGAACATTTTATTGTGTCATATGTCTCCAACTCAAAGAAAGTCCTTCAAAAGAGGCCCTCATGCAGAACATCGAGACCGTTACAAGAGGGGAACAAGGGCCGGATACTTCTGGACCGGGGAACACTAAACAACCCAAGCCACATCACCGTAAACCCCCGGAATCCCATACTCCACGAGTGCTCTGTAGAGTCAGAAAATTTCCAGGTTTGTACCGTCGGCTCATTGGTCAAGGAAAACCCACCACTTTCCATGTCATTCTCCGGTCGACAAAATTCTATGAAGAAGCCAAGACTGACCGTGTACTTGCGAATCATTCTCTGAGTTCAGCTGCAAGTCACGCTACACCGGTACACCCAACATTCCCCCTCACATCCTTATTCTTATCTCACCGCCAGCCCCAAAACCTCAACTAGCTAACGCAAATTCCTGCGCTCGGTTCGTTCACGCTTTATCTTACATTCAAGAGACAAAGTAGCGACTTGTGCTGCGCGCTTTCTATGGGAGTTCGAATTTACACGGTGAGTCAATCTTGAAACCGCGGGTTCGGGAACTGGAAGTGATCAAAGAACTTCGCAAGACTTGCAGCCTACTATGCATTAATTGATTGTGGTCGCCTTGCCAAAGCGTTGCTGAAGCTTGTTTGGGCACCGGCTTCTGCAACTCAAACCGCGCTCTCTCCTGTGTTCAGCCTCCAGCCCAAACCTAGGTTGGGCCCAGAAATCCTAACTAGGATCCTCCTAAGCTCAACAAAGAAAAATGTGAGTACCCCAAGGGCCTACCAGGAGGTACACCCCCAAACCCCCAAACCCCCAAACCCCTAAACCCTAAACCCCTAAACCCCTAAACCCCTAAACCCCTTAACCCCTAAACCCCTTAACCCTTGACCCTAAACATGGGCCGAAGCGCATGACCTGCCACCAGCCCGGAGTCAGCTTCGCCGGCGGGGCCGCCACCGCCAGGATTTCGGGGAGGTCCAGCATCTCCTGCTTTCAAGCAAAAGATTTTTTTGGGTTGATCAAAGATGTTTCGGGGTGATTTTTAGGGTTTAGGATTTAGGGCTTGGGGTTTAAGGATTAGGGTATAGGGTTTCAACACCTACCCTCGGGCCCTCCTCTGGTTTTAGGGATTTATGGGTCGAGGGTCGGCTTCTTCTGAAAAGGGCGTCAGAGGGAGGGTGCAGGGGAAGGCGGTGTAGGGTTCAAGGGGCATAGGGGTTAGGACTTGGGGATGGCTTACGATTTGGGGGTTTAGGGTTTGGGTTTAGGGTTTAGGGCTTTGGGCTTAGGGTTTAGGGTTTATACCTTCTAACTCTTTAACCTACTTTTTTTGTGGGTTGAAAACGAAAAACCTGGTTTTTCCTCGTCTTGCGGGAATAACCTGGATGCTTTAGCAAAACTGGGTTCTGGGGATTTTGACCCGTATTTTCGCCGTAATTTGCCCATATTTTCCCGTAGTTTACCCGTGTTTACCCGTAATGACAAGCCTGCTAGGGAAAATCCGGGTTTCTCTGAAAGAAACCTGGTTCTTCTGAGCAACCCGAAAAATGTAGGCAAAAGATTTTCTAGGTAGGGTTTAGGGTTTAGGGTTTAGGGTTTTGGGTTTTGGGTTTAGGGTTTAGGGTTCGGGGTTTAGGGTTTAGGGTTTAGGGTTTGGTCAAGAGGCCCAGGGCGGAGTTCAGGGTTTCGTTGGCGTTTTCCGGGCTTCAGGCCTGTCAGGCTTCAGGGTTTCAGGATTCGAGTTCCGAGGCAGAGGGTTGTACAAGGGTTTACAACCCCCCCCCCCCCCCCCCCTGAGCGCGCCTGCCGATAGTTCGACGTGTCCCTTCCTCCAGGCGCAAGCAGCGCCGCCGTGCCCAGAAGCTGTCACGCACACGGCGGGCTTCAGGCTTTAAGGTTTAGGGTTTAGGGTGGAGGGCTTCTAGGGCTCAAGGGGCTTCAGGGGCTCGAAGTTCCGGCAAGTTTTGGAAGGTGCCGGGTTGCCGATTCCAGGGGATTTCACCCTCAATAACAAGAGAAACTTGTCTTGATCATTCGGTGTAGCTGCAGCTGCAAAGGGGGGGCATGTTTATCGCTTCCTTAAGTCTCCAACACACTACATGAATAGCGGTGTGACACATTGCATAGCCGCCATGCTTTTGAACTGCATCCCCTGACTGGGGAATCTCTGAGGATTGGTTCATGTTCCCTTTGTCAGGGGGTCCTAGCAAGCGGCACTCTTCCAAGAAAGCGCAAAAGTATCCTAAACCCTAAACCCTAAACCCTAAACCCCAAACCCTACAAGCCCTCAACATCTTTTGTTTCCGGGCGTCGGCATGAAACAAAAATCTTAGCCCGCAAGCTGCCTCCACACAGCGGCTGGGCAGTGAAGTGCTGGGCATCCAGGTCTTCAGCATCAGCTGATACTGGCCCTCCAAGAGGCAGGGTTTAGGGTTTAGGGTTTAGGGTTTAGGGTTTAGGGTTTAGGGTTTAGGGTTTAGGGTTTAGGGTTTAGGGTTTAGGGTTTAGGGTTTAGGGTTTAGGGGTTTAGGGTTTAGGGTTTAGGCTTTGGGGTTTAGGGTTTAGAGTTCAGGGTTTACGTTACAAGGCCATAGACCTCTTGTGGAAATATTGGGCTACAGGAGTCAAAACCTGCACCTATTTGAGCGCGTATTTGGCTTTGGGGAAGGGACGATCTGCGAACCGACCAGGAGGTGGTGGTTCGAGGTTCTCGTAGGCTTCCGAGTGCACAAAGAGAGAGGGAGAGAAAAGAGAGAGAGAGAGAGAGGAAGCGAGGGAGAGAGGGCGAGAGGGAGAGAATGAGAGAGGGAGAGAGAGGGGAGGAAGGGAGAGAGAGAGTCTTCCATCTTGGCAGCTTTCGAGTTCGGTACTAGGGTCCCCAAGCCCAGCATTGGGACTTGGGAGATACAAAGCAGGTATCAAAAAATCGAGGATGGCTCTAAGACCCTGTGAAACTAATTCCTGAACATGATCAACTTAAACTAACCAAGAAGAGAACCCTAAACCTTAAGCGCTAAACCCTAAAATGTCCCAAGAGGCTACCAAGTCCTTCAATTCCATCTAGAGGGCGAGCCGAACCCTAAGAGAGGGAACAAGGTACTACTTGGAGGTTCATGGTACGTATTCACCAATTATAAGTCTGCACTTATAACTGTGATTATGCCTATATTAAGGCATTTAAGGGGCGTATAAGTGGGCTATAAGTACAGTTAGAATTGGTTAGTAAGTACCAAGTACTAGGCGTCCTGGTAAACCGCTAGATCGCCAACTGTCAGAGAGCAACCTTGGACCTTGAACCCCCTGACCCGACAGAAGGAGGTTTAGGGTTCAGGGTTCAGGGTTCAGGGTTTAGGGTTTAGGGCTTAGGCCCTAAAGCACACCCGAAAAGCCTCTTTATGTCCTCAGCACCCTAACGCCCTACCTCGTATCCTCAAAGCCCCAACCACTCCGCCTCTGGAAATCCCAGAAAGATTTTAGAGAGATCCGAAGCCGCCCTCAACAACCTTAAGAACAGAAACGCAATACTTACCTAGGGCTTTCGCTACCGCAGATAACCCCTCAAAGGGTCATGTTTGGGGTGTTCCCCCACATTTTCTAACAGCTCCTTAGTAGGGATTAGAATAGGGGGTACTATACTCCCTATGAAGGACTGTGAATAGAAGGGGGAACATCCCAAGGGTCATGTAGCCCTAAACCCTAAACCCTAAACCCTAAACCCTAAATCCTAAATTAAACCCTAAACCCTAAACCCTAAACCCTTCTTACCTGCAGTGGGACGACTCCCTTCCGAGCACGGCCTTGGGAAGATTGGGCAGCAGCATCACCAGCCGTCGCCCGCTGGGGCGTGCCCGTGCCCAGGCCTTCTCCTGAGTTTCCCCAAACTTCGGAAAAACTTCCTGTACCCTAAGCCCGAAGTCCTAAACCCTAAACCCAAAAGAAAAACTCTAAACCCTAAAGCCCTAAACCCATCCAACCTGCTTCTTCTGGCATGTGGGCTTAAGGAGGCTTACCTCTGAGAGCCCCCAAGCCTACTGTTCTGTCGGTTCTTGCGTGAGAAGGCTCCCTCTTGGATTCGGGGGACCTTTCTTGAGAACCGGGGATGGTCGATGAATTCCTAGCGGCCTCCCTTGGGAGTGAGGCTCCCTTGCCTCACATGAAGCCCAGGATCCCTAAGGGTTTAGGGTTTAGGGTTGAGGGTTGAGGGTTCAGGTTTGAGGGTTGAGGGTCTAGGGTTTGGGGTTTGGGGTTTGCGGCGACAAAGGCCCCGCAGATCCGAGTTTCCTCCTGCCCCTGGCGAAGTAGCAGCAGCTCGAGCGGCAGCCACGGTGCCTGCAAAAGACGACCCTAGACCCTAAACATCAAACCCTAAACCCTGGGATCCAAGAGCACAAGCCGTAAACATGAAGCCCGAAAGCCCTACACCCTAAACCCGAAAGCCCCCAGTGGGCCGCCCAAAATGGGGCCTTAACTAGGCGCAACTACGAAAATCCCAAGCCTCGAAGCTTCGGGTGAGGGTGTAGGGCTTATCAGGGCTTACAGGGCCTAGGGTTTAGGGTCTACGGTTGAGCTTGGGGCTTAGGGTCTTCTTGGGCGCAGGCCCAAACCCCCCTCACAGCCCTCCCAAACTTCGCAGAGCCCGCGCCTCCAGGCTCAGCTCCAGGCGGAGCTCGGCGCTGGCCGCGAGCACGGTGACCGGAGCCGAGGCAGCGGAGAAGTCCTCTGAGCAGAGGGCGGGCGCTTTTGTGGGACTGGGGGTTTAGGGTTTAGGGTTTTGGGTTTTGGGTTTAGGGCCCTAAACCCTAAACTCCAAACCCTAAACCCTAAACCCTAAACCCTAAACCCTAAACCCTAAACCCGAAACCCTAAACCCTAAACCCTAAAGCCTACAAAGGGCTCAGGGCTCAAGGCTCAAAATCCTGGCCCGGCAGTGTGGCCGACAGCTGTCGCAGGGTCGCCATGTCGGCCGGCTGCTCGGTGAGTGCCTTGGGAACCGGAGTTTAGGGTTTAGGGTTTAGGGTTTAGGGTTTAGGGTTTAGGGTTTAGGGTTTAGGGTTTAGGGTTCCTGCAGGAGGGGCCCCCTGGATATAAGTAGAGTTAGAAGGATCCTTGATTTGGGTATAAGGCTCCTAACTTAGGTCTAAGCCCCTTTACCACACTTAATATAGCAAGGTGATTCCTTTATTGCTCCTGTTCCTCCCTTTTTCTTTTCATAAATCTTCTTCCTGAAAGCTGTAGAAGCAAAACTCCAAGTGCCCCAAGACCTAAGCCCCCAAGCCCTGGAAGGGGCGGGCTCGTTGAATCCGAAAGTCATAGCACTCTGAACCCCACATCGGGGGTTGGACCTACATTCTGTGCACTTTTCGATACCCTCGCCTACTGTTAAGCTGTTAGAAATACAAAAAATGTGTTCTTGAGGCCCAAGAGTGGCCCTCAGATCACCCCCCCCCTCCCCCCCTAAAACCTCAAACGCTGCACCTTGGTAGCTGAAGAACTCCTTCAGGGCGTTAAGGGCGGGCCCCCCTCCATGTACCCCCCCCCCCCCCCCCCCCCCCCCCCCCCCACCCTCCCCCAGCATGCCTCGGCCAAACTCTTCGCAAGCTCCTGGCGTTTTTTGCGGGCTGTAACTGGCAACCATGAAGCTTTCTATTGGGGGGGGGGGGGGGGGGTTGTGATGAAGTGCCTTCATGTAAGACGTCTCACGCAACCTAGATGGACACCCACGCTACCTTGGACAACTTGCAGAAAGCAGGCTGAAAACTGAAAGCTGTCCACGTTGAGTGCCCTCTACTAGGACCTAGGTGTCCTCATGCCCGGCTCTCAGCTTGCTATCTCCGAGAAGTCCAAATTGGCTTCACGAAATAGGGTGTCTACCTTAAACCATCAGGAGTTCTTATTCTCACAGAAGAGTCCTTCTACTCTACACTGTCTTAAGTGCTGGACCTCAAACCTATGGCAGGAAGTGTTCTTGTTCAACACAAAACCGGCTCAGAAACAAGAAAGGTCTGCGCAACATCGGCCTCAAGCCTTCTAAGGCTGGGCTTGGGTTTAGGGTTTAGGCTGCAGGGCTTAGGGCTTCGCAATCAAAGCTGTTCAGAGGTCAGCTGCTTCTTTGCCTTTGACTGCAGATGCTTCAGGCTGTTGGAGCCCTTCGTGCTGACCCAGAACGTCCAAGCTGCAGAGCCCCTTCGTCCTACAGCGCGCCCCGAAAGCCCTACACACTCAGATCCCGATGTCAACCTGAACCCTCCGCATGTTCAAAATTCGGCCTCTTCAAGCCCTAAGCCACCCTCAGGGTTTAGGGTTTAGGGCTTGCGAGCCCGAAACCCTAAACCCTAAACCCTAAACTCTAAACCCTAAACCCGAAACCCTAAACCCTAAACCCGCAAAAAGTCCAGCCCTTCCTGCAGGGGGGTTGCCCCGGCGCTGGGGCAGGACAGCAATGACTTCTCAGTCCTTGGTCCCCGAAACGTTTAGGGTTTAGGGTTTAGGGTTTAGGGTTTAGGGTTTAGGGTTTAGGGTTTAGTAGGGTTCAGGCTTCAGGGTTCAGTGTTTAGGGTGTAGGGTTCAGTGTTTAGGTTTTAGGGTTTAGGGTAGTTTTCGTTTCTTGCTAGCCCAGTAACCCTGTCACAAGGGTACCCTGTTTGGGGTTGCTTTGTAAGGGAACCTGTGCCCAAAAAATAGAGCAAAAAGGGTACGACTGGGCTACCAATCAAGTGTGGCGGTTAGGGTTCTTCAGGGGGGAAGGGTGGCTTCAAGGATCCCTACTATCCCAATCATGATGCCTAAAACCCCTCAACCCTAAACCCTAAACCCTAAACCCTAAACCATAAACCCTAAACCCTGAACCCTACTAAGGCCACACAGGCCCATCGAAAAACCGAACCGGCGGTGAAGAACCCAGGTTCCAGGTCTCAAAGTTGTACATGGGTTTAGGGTTTAGGGTTTAGAGTTTAGGGTTAGGTTTAGGGTTTTGGGGACGTGAGGCAGCTCATGGTGTCAGATGCGGTGGTCGTGCGGAGGAGCGCGGGGCTGCAGCATGACTGCTCGGCAGTTCCACACCTAAACCTGATACGCCCCCAAACCCTGCCCTCCCGAAAGGCCAAGATGCCTGATAAGAAGAGGCAATACGGTCCGCGAACCCAAATCCCTGCAGATTAGCATCCATGGAACTATTCTAAGGGGAGATTAGCAGGATGTGGCCTCCTAATTCCAAGAGTTGGTAGTGATTTGTAAGCCCAGGTCGCCCAAGACTCCAATTCAACTTGCAGACTTGTTCAGGCAAGCTTAGCGGGGGGGTTGTAGGTTTTGAACTGACTTGGTTCTGAGGCAAGACTTGGATGGCCCTGAAAACCCTCTGAAAATCACTCCTGAGTATGATCCTCTTAAACCCCAGAAGTAACATGTCCCAAGGGCCGACCTAGAAACCCTGAACCCTAAACCCTAAACCCTTAACCCTTAACCCTAAACCCTAAACCCTTGAAGAGTACCAATTCGATTCTCAGATTCGTGAGAACCAGATGCAGCTTCAGCAGTGGGCAGCTGGTCGACGCCTTGAATGGTTCAGGGTTTAGGGTTTAGGGTTTAGGGTTTAGGGTTTAGGTTTTAGGGTTTAGGGTTTAGGTGTTAGACTCACAGCTCCTTCATTGGGATTCAAAATGGTCGAGGGGGGGGGGGTGTACTAGAATCCCTATTCAGGAGCTGTAATAGGGATGAGAATAGGGGGGGGGGTGCTCGAATCCCTATAAATGAAAGAGCTGTTAGTATAAGGGGGAACATCTCAACCTCAAGGGTTCAGGGTCTGGGGGCGGGGTGGGGGGCTTAAGGGGCTTGAGAGGGTTGTTGGCTTGAAGGCGAGGGGAAGGAAACTAGGGGAGCCTTTGTTTGCTCGTGCCGCTGCGCGCGCTGAGTGCTGGCACGCTTTGACGCCTGCCCGGGGGGGGGGGGGGGTTCTACATAATCCTAGCCTAACAAATTTCAAGTTGAAGCTGGACATCACGAAAGATGACATGAGTTTCTATACCTACAGGACCCCAAAAGTGACCCTAACTTAGAGAACTACTCGTTTTAATCAAGGTGTGCTTAGAGAGAACCTAAGGTTTACTGGGGCGATAAGCCTAGACCGGTCGAACCCCCAAAGCCCCCGAACTAGGATACCTCCCAGACCCCAAACCCTGAACCCCAAACTTTGCACCCTAAACCCTAAACCCTAAACCCTAAACCCAAAACCCTAAACTTTGCACCCTGACTCTCAAAACCTCCGGGCCACGCTGGCCAGACGCGCAGCGCGGACGCTGACGGTGCGGAGTGCTCCTCGGGGTTTAGGGTTAGACGGGTTTAGGGTTTAGGGTTTCGGGTTTAGGGTTTAGGGCCAGTTTAGGGTTTAGGGGTTTCGGGTGTAGGGTTGAGGTTTAGAGGGGTTTAAGGCTGAGGGTGTAGGGAAGTGGAGGGAAATGGAGGGTTGCAGTCAAGCTTCTTTGCGTACTTCCCTTTGGCCCGAGAGGTCCGGATCCTAAACAACAACCTTGAGGATGCGACTCTGCCATTCCGATCCGACTTCCCAAAGCCAACCCAACACGGCTGAACACCCGTAAACCCTAAACCCCTAAACCCTAAACCCTAAACCCTGAACCCTAAACCCTGAACCCTAAACCCTAAAGCCTAACCCTAAAACCCTAAACCCTAAAAACCCTAAACCCTACAATAAACCCCGAACCTCAAGCCCTACAAGCCCTAAGCAAACCCTCAATCCTTAAAATCGGAAGCCGGGAAGCAGCCCCCAAGCACCATGCCTGTGGTTAACGGCGCTTAGGGTAGGGCAGCCCTGAATATGGGCTCTTCATTAAGGGAACCTAAACCCTAAACCCTAAACCCCAAACCCTAAACCCTAAACCCCAAACCCTAAACCCTAAACCCACAACCCTAAACTTTGCTTGTTATGAAAGCGTCCAGTGCCGAAGAAGCGGTCTTCCCCGAGGCCATCCAGGGTCAGAGGCTCCTGCATCCACGTTTTCTCGGCTGGCCAGGTTAGGGGTTCAGGGTTCAGGGTTCAGGGTTTCAGGGTTTAGGGTTTAGGGTTCAGGGTTCAGGGTTTAGGGTTTAGGGTTTAGGGTTTCAGCGGCATTCAAGTCCACCTAAGTTGCTAAGAAGTGCATCGGCCCTAAACCCTAAACCCTAAACCCTAAACCCTAAACCCTAAACCCTAAACCCTAAAACCATCAGCTTTCACGCGGCCGAGGCTAGCCTTACTGCATCTGCCTCTTGGCAGCAAAAGCACAACCCTAAACCCTAAACCCTAAACCCTAAACCCTAAACCCTAAACCCTAAACCCTAAACCCTAAACCCTAAACCCTAGGACCCAGATTCGAGCGCTGCGCGTTTCAGAAATTGCATCGAAGTGAGCTCTCGAGCCCATGTCCTCTCAGAGCCTCTGTTTTGTTTAGGATTTAGGATTTAGGATTTAGGATTTAGGATTTAGGGTTTAGGGTTTAGGGTTTAGGGTTTAGGGTTTAGGGTTTAGGGTTTAGGGTTTAGGGTTTAGGGTTTAGGGCCATATTTCACTTCTGGGGTTTAGGGTTTAGGGTGTAGGGCTTCGATGCCAACTCAGGCCAGGGATCGAGACATACCCGTAGTGGAAGCGAAGCCTAAGGTTCGCCCGCCCCAAAATTCCGGATTTAGGGTTTAGGGTTTAGGGTTTAGGGTTTAGGGTTTAGGGTTTAGGGTTTAGGGTTTAGGTTTTAGGGTTTAGGGTTTCGGGCCAGTTTAGGGTTTGGGGTTTAGGGTTTCGGGTTTCGGGTTCAGGGTTTGAGCCCTGCGCTCTAAAACCCTCTGCCCGTGCCTGCCCGATGCGGACCTCTGCATCCGCCGATGAGACGGTGGCTTTGAGGATCCTCTCTTGCCGTGGGTTCGGGGTATTCTTCTGGACTTCTGGGTTTCTGGTTTCAGGGTCACAGTTTTAGGACCTCAGTGTTGTAGAGTGCTCTGGCACTTTGCCAGTCTGCATTTGTACTTCCTGGGTTCTTTCTCTTCGGGGCTTATGGCCCTCACAGGCAACAACACCAGGATCTATAGCAACTGCACCTCTCCATCCTAATAGCGGTGGTAATGCGTCATGAGCTCTCCCCGATTCCGATTGGAGCCGAGCCCTCAACCATCGACCCAAGTGCAACAGTGAGAGACCTCCCTAAACCCCGAAAGCCGTAGCTGAACGCTGAAACGCAAGAGCCTACTTCAAGCGGCTACTGTTGCCGCTTGGGCGAACAGGAGCAAGTCTTCGGTTTAGGTCTTGAGGGTCGAGGTGTTAAAAGCCCAAGATACCCCAGCAGGGCGAGGCCTCAACTTGTTAATAGTTTAGGGTTTAGGGTTTAGGGTTTAGGGTTGAGGGTTGAGGGTTTAGGGCGTTGGTGCAAGACTCGACTCGATCCCTACCCCAAGGACTCACGAACCTGTCCACGCCCAACCCTTAACCCGAAACCCTAGACCCTAAACCCTAAGCCCCAAACCCTAAACCCTAAACCCCAAACCCTAACCCCCAAACCCCAAAAGGGTTTAGGGATTCAGAGATGCGGTTTCTGCCCGGCCGGTCACGTCAGACGCTACGCCAGTAATCTGGATAGCGTGGCTGCCGCCCGCCTCATGCTGGAGGGCGACTAGGCTTCAGTGAGCTACTAAACACCCTAAACCCTAAACCCCAAACCCTAAACCCTAGTCAAACCCCAAACCCTACACCCGAAAGTAGCGTTGCAAATCGCAAGCACACAGGACCAAAGCTCCCAGAAACTAGGGTTTAGGGGTTTAGGGCTTTAGGGTTTAGGATTTAGGGTCTCGGGCTTCGGGCAGAAAGTCCGTATCATCGGAAGACTAAGTCCTAAACTCTAGAGTAAAGACAGGTAGACCGGAGTCCAATTTGCAGGGTTTAGGGTTTGGGGTAGCGTTTAGGGTTTAGGGTCAGGGTGTAGAGTTTAGGGTTGAGGGTTTATAGGGACCATAAAGCCACAGACGCTCGACCGCTGCAACGTGCTCTACCCTGTCGCCCAGCCACCGGAGGCAGCAAGTACTCGCCCTCCACCACGGTCGCCACACCCTCACCTCACGAAGGGTTTAAGGTTTAGGGTTTGGGGTGTAGGGTTCAGGGTTTGGGGTTTAGGGTTTAGGGCTGACGTCAGCACCCCGATTCTCCGAACCCTGGATTCGGGGTCCAGGCAATGAGTATTATCAACAGCGCCTGTGACCACAACCTCTTTGAGCGCGCCCCTCGCGCCCCTCGCTGCAAGCTGCCCCTCAACGATAAACGTTGCCCGGATTTGGCAGGTCTCTCGCAACGGGTTTCCTTTGCGAGGGCCCAATCTTTCCATGCCACAACCCGAAGTTGCTCTGTGTGAATGAGCAGCTTTGCAACATCGGGCTCCAGAGACATCTCTGGCCAGCTTTCCGGGACACCAGTGGTCGCACCCGCCCTTTTGGAGCTAGGTAGGGTGCAAACGAATGGCTTTCAAGGGTCAGGGCTCCCTGAACATCACGTACATGGCCCGAATCCAGGGCTTCCTCCCACGAAGGCGCAGGGCTTGAAGGCATTCAGGGCCCCGGGGTTGAGCAGACTTAGGGGGATCAGGGTTTAGGGTTCAGGGTTCAGGGTTCAGGGTTTGGGGTTCAGGGTTTAGGGTTCAGGGTTCAGGGTTTAGGGTTTAGGGTTCAGGGTTTAGGGGTTCAGGGTTTAAGGTTTGTCTTGGCTTTAGGGTTCCGGGGTGGATGGCTTGAGTGGAGCCATAAGGCTCGCCGGAGGGCAGCTGAAAACCAGAACAGAAACATCGCCTATCATGCCCCCCCCGTAAACCTCTGGATTCCTAAACCCTAAGCCTGCAAACCCCAACCAGGGCTTGAAGTGTAAGATCACTTGCCCAAAGAAAGAGGGAGAGAGAGAGAGAGAGAGAGAGAGAGGGAGGTTCGTAGCTGCGCAAGGGCTGCTGCTAAGGAACTGTGTACCCCGACTATGGTACCTGTAACTTAATTTACGTTAGGTGCCGAGCAAACTAGGAGACAAGAATGAACCCTGCACCTGCCCCCCCCCCCCCCCCCCCCGCAAAAAAACCTAAACCCTAAACCCTAAACCCTAAACCCTAAACCCTAAACCCTAAACCCTAAACCCTAAACCCTAAACCCTAAACCCTAAACCCTAAACCACTATGACCCAAACAATACCAATACAAGCAGACAAAGTTCGTCTAGCCCCAGATGATGTAGAGCAACACCTCGAGGTGGTTGAGCGAAGCCCTACGTAGAATCCGCAAGCCCTAGAGCCTAAGCCCCAAACTCCCTAAGCCCTCCTTAGGGTTTAGGGTTTAGGGTTTAGGGTTTAGGGTTTAGGGTTTAGGGTTTAGGGTTTAGGGTTAGGGTCCCAAGCCCTTGAACCCTCCTGAGGGCAGGGGCGGACGCGGATCTGGGAGGGCAGGAACTGGCCGGAGAGCCAACAAGTGTCGGCACCTTTTAGGGTTTAGGGTTTAGGGTTTAGGGATAGGGTTTAAGGTTAGGAGCTGTGGAAAGCTGCATCATGTTGAAAACAAACCTTTCGATTAAGGTTCAGGGTTTAGGGCTTGGGGGTCAGACCCCAAACCCTAAGGGTTAGGGGAGTTTAGGGTTTTGGGGTTCAGGAAGTCTGGTCGCCGCACCCGAAGCCCTATACACCCTACATCTTATGGAACCCGCAACCCTCCCTCCCCCCCCCCCCCCAAACTCAGGGCCTAGGCCGCCCCCCTACAGAAGGGGGGCGGCGCTTAAGCCCTTTGACCTCTATGGCGAAAGTCGACCCAGGTCGCTTGCCCGCCTCCTGCAGCCAGGGGGTCGGTAGCACCCACGATGGGCCCGGTACCGGAGCAGGTTCTCCCGGGGACCAGTACTGGTCCCCTTAAAACCCTAAACCCCAAGGTCTTCACCCTGGATGGCGCTGGCATTCCGGGAGGGGGTACCCCAAGGCCCCCAGGCCAGGAGGACCCGGACCCCTCACCGCAGCGTGTCCAGGGACCAGGGGGCCTCAGGCCAGGCCAGGCAGGACGGGTGCTCAAAAAGGCTTCCTGTTCCGCTGGCCTCTCTGGCCCCCCCCTTGCGCCCCTGACCCCCCCTTGGCCGCCCCTGGCCCCCCCTGGCCCCCCCTGGCCCGCCCTGGCCCCCCCTGGCCCCCCCTGTCCCTGGCCGCCCCTGGCGCCCCGCCGGTGGCCCCCCTGGCCCCCCCGACCCCCCCTGGCCCCCCTGGCCCCCCTGGGCCCTGGCCCCCGCCCTGGCCCCCCCTGGCCCCCCCTGGCCCTAACCCCGCCTGGCCCCCTCTGGCCCGCTCTGGCCCCCCCGGCCCGCCTGGCCCCACCCTGGCCCTCCCCTGACCCCCTGACGCCCTCTGGCCCCCCTTCCTTCCTGGCCCATTCCCTTTGAGCCTCCTGACGCTGGCCTGGCCTGCCCTGGTCCCCCCCTGACCCTGGCCCTGGCCTTCGGACCTGGCCTTGGGGAAAGGTTTTTTTGAAAGTAAGCAATTGTCATGAGTTTAGGCCTAAACCCTAAAAGGAATAGGTTTGGGTGGTTTTGCCGCCTTGGACGGCGTGGGGTGGGAGAAAAGTTGTTGATGGCCCTCCAAAATCGGGCCAGAGCTGCTCTGCGCATTTGACGAGGCATTCGAGCCGCTGCTGCATCCTAACCTTCACAGCATCTACGCCCTTTTACAGCAAAACCCTAAACCCTAAACCCTAAACCCTAAACCCTAAACCCTAAACCCTAAACCCTAAACCCTAAACCCTAAACCCTAAACCCTAAACCCTAAACCCTAAACCCTAAACCCTAAACCCTAAACCCTAACCCCCGACACTGCCTGGTAGGGGCGCCACGAAGCGGCCCTGGAGTGACGGCGGCGTCAGCGAAACGGAGGCAAGGTCGACCGACACGTCCACGCACGTGGACCTCGGAGGCTTATTGAAGCCCCAAAAACTCCTGAAATCCTGAAGCCCTAAACCCTAAACCCTGAACCCTAAACCCTAAACCCTAACCCCCTAAACCCCTAAACCCTAAACCCCTAAACCCTAAACCCCTAAACCCCTAAAGCCCTAAAGCCCTAAAGCCCTAAACCCCTAAAGCCCTAAAGCCCTAAAGCCCTAAACCCCTAAACCCCTAAACCCCTAAACCCCTAAACCCCTAAACCCCTCGAGTCCATGGACCTGTGGGAGGTTCTCTAAGACACAATCCCTTCTGGCGGGACTCCAATTACAACACGGAACCTTGTATATCTGGTATGTAGGGCACCCATTTTGGTTTGCTCATGGTAGCTTGATGTAAGTTCCTTAACAGCAGCCCAGCAGAGGCTGCTTGCCCAGAATCCCCAGTCTTCCGACTTCGAACATCATACTTTCATGATCCCTTCAATATGCCACAAACCCCTGAACCCTCTCCTTGAAGCCTAAACCCAAGACAACGCTCAAGCATTGCCACACGGAGCAAGTGGTCACGAGAGACATTTAGTACCCGGGAGCACAGAATCCCTGCGCCATACAGCTCAGAGACTTCAAGAGCCCTTGAAGATATATGACGCATTAGATAACATATTCAACATTCGGTATATATATATATATATATATAGAGCACATATATATATATATATATACATATATTCATGTACCATATCTTACACTACATCTTACACACTTCAAACTATAGTGAAGGACTACTGCCCCTACATTGGAATATCGGCTTTAGGGACTTTCCTCAATCAAGTGGTGTCAGAGCCTCTCACGATCCTTCTCAGCGGGCCTGGTGGTTGGCTTTCTAGGCGCATGCAGCAGCACCACCTCAGGCTGTTCGTCTTGGAACCCTTGCTCTTGATTTGTTCAGAACTATTGTTTCTTCTGGTCCCCTATGAATACAACAACCCCAACAAGTATTTTTCAAGACCGTTCTTGTCTAGCAAGCCTAGAAGAGCCCTTCTTAAGCTGGGGTCAAGGGGGCTTGGAACTTCCGGTGACAAAGAGCAATACTCAAACCTAACATGGAGCTCCGATTTAGAACCTGCATGCGAGTCTGGGATTTGGGTTCAGGGTTCAGGGTTTAGGGTTTAGGGTTTAGGGTTTAGGGTATGCTCCAGATTCCTGTTCAGGATGTCGGGCTTTTGCTTAGGGCGGTTTGGGGTCTGGGGGCATTCAGGCAGAGGTTGCCGGTCCTTACACCAAAACAAATCCAAGAAATCAAATCCGAAACCCCCAAACCACGCCGAAACCCCAAACTCAAGATCAAGCCCGAAACCCTGAACCCTTTACCCTAAATCCTAAACCATGCACACCAAAACCCTAAACCCTGAACCCTAAACTCTAAACCCTCTCCCACCTCGTAGAATGCATTTGCGCGAACCGGGCCGACCATGGCGGCATAGCCGTTGCCTCCGGGCCGCACACATAGGGCTTAGGGCTTGGGGTTCAGGGTTCAGGGTTTCGGGTTCAGGGTTTGGGGTTTAGGGTTTGGGGTTTAGGGTTTAGGGGTTGCGCCAATTTCGAATCTCTTCAGTCGATGATTCTGTGCCGGTTCTTAGGAAAGTACACAAAAGGATCCAGAAATATTCTATCAAGAGACGTCGAACGGATTCGAACAACGTGGTCTCTTCATCTCGATCTCTCACGACAGAAGAGCGACATGGGGCAGGATGAGTCCACCAGCGACCAAAGCTCCAGGAAGCCAAAAGATCCAGTAGGTAGATCCCTTAAACCCTAAACCCTAAACCCTAAAACCTTAAACCTGAACCCTAAACCCTAAACCCTAAACCCAAAACCATGAACCCTAAACCTTACAACTACTCAGTATGTTTACGGGGTACTTTCTACGGGTTTCTAACGAGAGATTCGCCCAAACCCGACACCTTCCAGGATCTGGGTTGTCCCTGAAAAAAGGGAGCCCAAGGATGACTTAGGGTTTAGGGTTTAGGGTTTAGGGTTTAGGGCTTAGGGTTTAGGGTTTGGGGTTTGGGGTTTGGGGTTTCGGGTTAGGGTTTAGGGTTTCAAGCTAAGGTTTTAACGACCAGGGTGGTTCAGGACCCCAATCACTCAGCCCGAGTGCCACCATTTGACCCGGCACCAGTGGTGTCAGGGCCCTAAGCCCTAAACCCTAAACCCTAAACCCCTAACTCAGGGCAGCTTCAGGAAAGGAGTTCCCAGCTGGTGTGCCTTATGTACGGATCATTCAAGGAGTGTACGAGGGCACCAAAGATTATGTTCAGACATGCTAGAAGATATGGGTGTAAGGTTTAGGGTTTCGGGCTACAGCAGATACTACAAAAAAAAGGAATAATATTGGGGAAACTTGCACGAACGCAAACGCAACATAAACTTTCGGTGAATCGAGAACATCTCGGCGCGGCAAGTCTCGGGATGGCGAAAGCTGCAGGACTCCGGTCAAAAACCCCACAAGAATACAGCCTGGTGCGGTTGCGCACCGGCACCCACATCAAAAGGGCTCAACTGCTTCCCTCAACCCTAAACCCTAAACCCTAAATCCTAAACCCTAAACCCTAAACCCTCAACCCTAAATCCTAAGGGGAATAAGCACTTCTGGGTGATCCTGGGGGCCCACGCCATCTGGCAAAGGTCTTGGCTCAGCGATGGGCTGTCCGTCCTTTCGCGGCTCTTTTCGTTTAAGGCTTTAGGGGTTTAGGCACAAGGGTTTGGGGCTGGTAGGGGTTTAGCTTACTTATGCCTAAGTTGCCTTAGTTATGGGGGGGACCTGGGGGTGAAGAGCTCGGATCCCAATACAGAGGACTTGGGGCTTAGGGCTGAACAATTGGAGGTTTAGGGTTTGGGGTTTGGGGTTTAGGGTTTAGGGGTTAGGGGTCAGGGTTTAGGGTTTAGGGGGTTCAGGGTTGAACATCTAGGGTTCAAGGCTTTGGGTTCGGGAGCCAGTGCCGGAAACATCCCCGTGAAGAAAATTGATGTCCGGAACTCAGAAGGTAATCTGCCAGGTGGTGCTGGCAAACCCTAAGCCCTAAACCCTAAACAGTAAAGCCCTAAACCCTAAACCCTGAACCCTAACAGGTGCTTCAAGGCTTTTCAGGAACGCGGGCGCATGTGCGCGTCGGCGTCGAGGGGCTTCCCGGGGGGGGGGGGGGGGGGGGTTCAGTTCAGGGTTCCAGGACAAGGGCTTCGGGTTCAGGGTTGAGGGGGCCTTAGGGTTCCTGGGTTTGGGGTTTAGGGTTTAGGGTTTGGGGTCGAGGGTGGGCATCGTTCTTGATGCTTGAAGGTTTGGTGCTTCGGCTTTTCGGCCTTGGCAGTTGAAAAAATCTCCCCAATGGTGCGGGTCGCGTGAGCCTCGTAGAAGGTGATCTGAAGATCTCCGTGCAGAAATGGCGACAGGACCTCAGGACGAGTTTCATCCAAAGACACCAGTCCTTTGGATGCTCAACTTTCGCATGCAGGAAATTGTATCAGAATGCCCCTCAGTCTACGTCACCAAAGACTTTCGAGTTCCAAAGAACGCATGCTGTGAGGATGTTACAACAATTCGTCAGAGGCGCCTCCCCGACAAAAAAAGAGAGTCGACATTCTCGACTAAGTGCCCCCAGAGCACGAACGTGAAAAACAAACCCTAAACGCTGGAGCCACGTGGTTTTCGTACCCTAAACCCCAAATTATATATAAACCCTAAACCCTAAAACCTAATTAAATCTAAACCCTAAAGCCTAAACCCTAATCCCCAAACCCCGTGGGCTTTTTAAGGGACAATCCGCCTTCGCGTGGAGCAGCACAGGAGGCGTATCGACAAGCCCGCCAGCGCCAATCTGGCCCCGGGGTTGACCCTAAACCCTGAACCCTAAACACTAACCCTAAACCCTAAACCACCCAAAAACCGAACCCCTAAACCCGAATGGTGGGTCTGGGGTTTGCCCTAAACCCCTAACTAAAGCCCTAAACCGCCAAGCCACTAAACCCCTGAGCCCTAAAACCCTATAGTTTGGGGTTTGGGGTTTAGAATTGCGAGTTTATGGGGGGTGAGGTTCTAGGAACCGAACTCAAAGCAGAATACAAGGCACCAGGTTACCGCTGGGCTTTGGTGTACCGGGCCAAACCCTACGGAGCGAAGCCTTACCCTGACAGTCCATGTACCTCGGTATGACATACTTGGGCCCCCCTGGGGTCCAAAGTCCCTAAAACTTTGAGGCACAAGAGTTCTGGGCACATGAACCCTTTATCTAGACGCATGGACCCTTTGGGGTTCGGCCTTAGAACCTTTGACCGAGGCCCTAGAACACGACGATGCGACCCCAACCCTTCAATCCGCTTGGGCTCTTGCTTCAAGGGCCCTGGAGCCTACTTCGTTTTTGGGGCCCATGAAGCCTAAGCATCCTAAGCAGCCCTGCTTGAGCCTACAGTTCAGGTTAAGGGTTGAGGGTTGAGGGTTAAGGTTTAGGGTTTAGGGTTTAGGGTTTAGGGTTTAGGGTTTAGGGTTTAGGGTTCAGCATCTCAAAGTTCAAGCATTCTCTAGGCTGGCAGCCTTTCAAGCGCCCGAAAAGTACCCACCCACCCAGAGAATCCCATACCATTAAGACAATAAAAGTTTCACACGCAACCCAAATTCTTAACCCTACGCTCTTGTCCCTGAACCTTCAACCACCGTAGAACCCTCAGCCCTGAACACTTGAACCCTAAATTTTAGGGCTCCTCAACCCTCATGCCATGGGGAGGGGGGGGGGGGCGGAGGGGGGGGGCGGGGGGGGGGGCGGGGGGGGGGGGGGGGCGGGGGGGGGCGGGGGGGGGCGGGGGGGGGGGGGGAGGGGGGGGGGGGGCGGGGGGGGGGGGCTGGGGGGGGGGGGGCGGGGGGGGGGGGCCAAGGACCTTGCCCACTGATTTTCGGACCTTGCCCGCTAATTTTCGGACCTTGCCCGCTAATTTTCGGACCTTGCCCGCTAATTTTCGGACCTTGCCCGCTAATTTTCGGACCTTGCCCGCTAATTTTCGGACCTTGCCCGCTAATTTTCGGACCTTGCCCGCTAATTTTCGGACCTTGCCCGCTAATTTTCGGACCTTGCCCACTAATTTTCGGACCTTGCCCGCTAATTTTCGGGCCTTTCCCGGGTCCGAAAATTAGCGGGCAAGGTCCGAAAATTAGCGGGCAAGGTCCGAAAATTAGTGGGCAAGGTCCGAAAATCAGTGGGCAAGGTCGTGGGTCAGCGGGCAAGGTCCGAAAATTAGTGGGCAAGGTCGTGGGGCAGCCAATGGACCTTGCCCACTGATTTTCGGACCTTGCCCGCTGATTTTCGGACCTTGCCCGCTGATTTTCGGACCTTGCCCGCTAATTTTCGGACCTTGCCCGCTAATTTTCGGACCTTGCCCACTAATTTTCGGACCTTGCCCGCAAAGCCATTAACATTTATATTATATATGAAAGAGTGGTTTAGGGTTTAGGGTTTAGGGTTAAGGGTTTAGGGTTTAGGGGGCTTTGGGGCTTCGGGCTGTGTTGGGTTTAGGAGTTCCAGAGGTCCGCGGCTTTGGTGCAACAGCCCTCTCCCCGCCCCAAGCCCTCAAATGCGAAAGCCACTTGCTCGGGGCCGTGGGGGTTTAGGGTTCTTAAGGGTTTAACGTTTAGGGTTTAGGGTTTAAGGTTTAGGGTTTAGGGTCGGGTTCAGGCGTTTAAGGCTTCTGGCAGCCTCACCGATGTTCATCGACGACCGGGCGATGATCTGAAGTCCTTTGGCGTCACCCTCCTTGGCTGAGGTTTTTTTGGGTACATAAAGCCCTAAACCCTAAACCCTAAACCCTACACCCTGCACCCTACACCTAAACCCTAAACCCTAAACCCTAAACCCTAAACCCTAAACCCTAAACCCTAAGCCCTAAACCCTAAACCCTAAACCTAAACCCTAAACCCTAAACCCTAGACCCTAGACCCTAAACCCTAAACCTTAAACAAGGCCTTCGGGCAAAGCCATAAGATGAAACCGAAACCCGACCACCTCCCCGAAAATCGAGCCCCACACCCTCAACCAAGTCTCAAGGTGGCTGCAGGCTTCGCGGTTTAGGGTTTAGGGTTTAGGGTTTAGGGTTTAGGGTTTAGGGTTTAGGGTTTAGGGTTTAGGGTTTAGGGTTTAGGGTTTAGGGTTTAGGGTTTAGGGTTTAGGGTTAGTGGCCTCTTAGGAGATCAAGGGCCAATAAGGGTACAGTACTCCTGGGGGCATCCGACCCTTAGAGAACGCGGAAAGAACAGCACCACTACCCTACATCAAAACCTTGATTAAGGTGCTTATCGCCCTCTTTAACATCACCCGTGAAAACCCAAAAGCCCTAAACCCTAAACCCTAAACCCTAAACCCTAAACCCTAAACCCCTGAACTCTGAACTCTAAACCCGGCACCCTCAACCAGCAAGGTTTGGCGCTGGGTTCGGGAATCGGTAGCTATGGCTTAAAGAAGTTGAGGTTTGAAGGTGCAATGCTCAATGCCTACGCTCCACCAGCCCAATCCGGAAGCAATCTGCTGACATCTAACGTAGCTCGAAAAACGGATCCCATACTAGGATGGCCCTTAAATTTTAAAACCCTCTGAAAAAATATTCCTGAGTATGATCCTCTTACACCCCAAAATGGAAAATATAAATCTTCCAAGGGCCTACCTAGCATAGTACTCCCGCGCCCCCCGGAAAAAAATGTCCGGGTGGCTCCGTCCTCGCCACCTCCCTCCGGCCGTGGAAGCATCACCTGCGCACAGGGTTCAGGGTTTAGGGGTTTGGGGTTTGGGGTTTAGGGTTTAGGGGTTTGGGGTTTGGGGTTTAGGGTTTAGGGTTTAGGGTTTAGGGTTTAGGGTTTAAGGTTTAGGGTTGCGGTTTCGCCAAGGGGCTTTCGGGGTGGCTCTGATGGGTGGCACAGGGCGAATGACCCCTAAATCCTAAGCCCGAGATCCGAAATGTTAAGCCCGCAAGCTTAAGCCCCATGGAAAGCTCACCAAGGCGAGACGTCCGTTCTTTGAGCAACAAGGCGGTATGTCAATGTGAATTGTTAACTATGTTTAGCGGAAGCGTGCATGTTTTCTTCCTTTTTGTCCGGGGCTTTTGTGTGCGCAGATATTTCGGACTTTCACTCCAGGGCGTGGGTGGTGGGTTTTGGGTTGCGGAATGTAGGGTGCAAGGTTTTCGGGCTTGAGGATTTTTCGGACGTGGGTTTCGGGTTGGGGTTTTGGGTGCAGGGTTTTCGAGCATGTTTTTCAGAGCATGGCTTTCGGGTTTCGGGTTTGAGGGTGCGAGGTTTTCGAGACCTCGTTCGGGCATGCATGCGTGGATGCGCCGGCAGCATTGCAATCTTGTCTGAAATCAGTGTTTCACCAAGACGAAACGTTTTTTCGAAACCCCTAAACCCTAAACCCTAAACCCTCAACCTTACACCCTAAACCTTAAACCACATTCTTTAAACAATGACAGAAAAAACCTTGTGCGAACCATGTGTCGCTAGCTTCAACAACCCCAAGACCCAACTACACAACCCTCAAGCCCACCCTGAACTCAAGGGACGAAGGGAGGGACCCTTACAAGGGACCTTAGGGGGCTATTTAGGGGTTTAGGGTTTAGGGTTTAGGGTTTAGGGCTACCCCCTTCATGAGCTCGAGACCCCCCAAACCCTGATCACCTGGAAGCTCTTTGGGCGCTCAGTCCAGGCTGAGAGCGGGAGCGGTTCCGACATAGCCTCCAAAGGGGTTTAGGGTTTAGGGTTTAGGGTTTGGGGTTTAGGGTTTAGGGCTTGGGGACCCTTATGAGTGCCCCAGAACCCCCTAAAGCCTAAACCCTAAACCCTATATAAACCCTAAACACCCTTAACAGGGCCAAAGTGCCCCTTCATGGGGACATTTAGGGGGCATCTTGGGTTGGGGGTTTTGGGGGATTAACATGGGGTTTCAGGGGGAGGGGGGGACTGAAAGCGGTGATGGGATAGGGGAGGGGAGTGGGGGGGCGGGGGGGGGGGGGGTTTGGTGGTTGAGAGGATGAGATGACCCTAACAAATTTTGGAGCAGCCCGGCGCTTGAACCCAAAATACCCCAACCCCTAATCCTTCCCCATAAACAAAAGAAAGCCTAGAACATGCAGCATGACTGCCCAAATCCTTAGCCCCCACGCTCCCGGATCCTGAAAGTCCTCAATCAGGGTTTCAGAGTACTACGCAGGGGCTTCCGGGCTTGAGGCTTTGTCAGGGCACTTGATGAACAGATTTCAGGGGTCAGGGTTTGGAGATTTTGGGGGGCTCAGCGAAGTTCAGCGGGGGCCTAAGGTTTACGACCCTAGGACTCTAGGATTTGGGGACCTGGGGTTCATTGGGGCTCAAGGGCGCTTACGGTCTTAGTTGTGGGCTGGGGATGGTTGCGTTCTCTGAGCCGTGCGCCAACAAACCCATGAACAGGCTCCCAGATCAACAGCAGACACGCATCTCTGCCGATTCCACGGCTTTCTCCTGCTGTCACCGCTCAAGTTTGTCTCTGCGTGCTGAGATATACGGGAACATGGAACCTCCGAAGAGGTTCTGCAGACCGTGCCCAAGATTTCTTGAGAGTGCCCTAGACTTCTGACGTTTGGCCTTTAAGGTTTTAGGCACCCTAAACTCTAAACCCTAAACCTAAACTTTAGGGGTTGGGTTTTTGGGTTTAAGGCTGAGGACAGTCTTTGTGAATCAATATGGGCGTTTGATTCGACAGGGTACTTGGAGTAGTTGGTAGTAAAAGCAACTCATTCTTTGGGCTTCCCCATTGTGAGCTTCGACATTTCTGTAGCTTCAGCTCTTTACTTTGGGGGGGGGGGGGGGGTGGGGCGGGTCCAAATGAACCCGAAACCTCAAACCCCGAACCGCCCTACGGACGGGGGGGTCCAGGGCCAAAAACCCTAAACCCCTAACCCCTAAACCCCATACCCTAAACCCTTAACTGAGGCCCCGGGTCCAGAAACCTCTGTGCTTGAGCCCGAACCCCGGAGTCCAGCTTCTTGAAGCATCTCGGGTCTGATTGCCCTAAACCTAGGGTTTAGGGTTTAGGGTTTTAGGGTTTAGGGTTTAGGGGTAGGTTTCAAGGAGCTCAAGTTCTTAGGTAAGCAGCCTGGGGCACTTGCACACGGCGGAACAAGGGCGAAACGACGTAGCCATGAAACAGACGAGCGCAGCCTCTGTAACAGTAGACTGTGCATCGAGCGTTGAGGGGTTCCAGGGGCTCGCCTACAAAATGACACTCAACCCTCTACGAGGATGGCCCTTAAATCCATGTATTCCTGAATAGGATCTCCTTAAACCCAATAAAGGGTGGAAGAATCATATATATATATAAGAATATATGTATATATATATATATGTATATGTATGTGTATGTGTATGTGTATGTGTGTATATATATATATTCTTATATATATATATATGTATTTCCATATATATATATATATATAGTCATCCTTGAATAGATAGAATATGGTTTTCGTTTGTTTGTTTTTTTTTGGGGGGGGGGTTGCTTTTTCCCACGTTTTTGAGGGAACCCATAGATAGAATATTGAAACCCATAGATAGAATATCTCAAAGAGTCCCAAAACCCATAGATAGATATTTTCGGGAGCCCGAAAAAACACCCGTTGTCGGGCCCTCCTGCAGGGGAGGAGGAGGAGGAGGGGGAGAGGAGAGGAGGAGCTACGTACGCCTCAAGAGAGGCGTCTTCAAGTGATGCCTACTTTGGGCTATTTGGAGCCTTACATTTCCCGAAACCCCCAAATCCCAAATCCCCGAAACTGTCATAAAAAAAGGAACCCATAGATAGAATATAGTGGGCCCCGGCGTGCCCCTTGGCCCTAAAGTTTAAGCCAATATTCTATCTAACGTTTTGGGGGTCTGTATATTCTATCTATCGTTTTGGAAAGGGGGTTATTTCATTTTCGGATTTTCAAATATTCTATCTACTTAAGGATGCCTATATGCATGTATTTGATACCAAGGGCCTATACAGTAGGGTCTACCACTTAAGTAAACCCCAAGCCCTAAACCCTAAACCCCAAACCCCAAACCCCAGACTCAAATCCAACAACTAGTAGGCCGCAGCCTCTGAAGTTGGGTAGATACGACAGGCAACGGGCACTTGTCGGTTTTTGAAGCAAGTGCAACCCCAACCCCTGAAAGCCCTAAACCCCCAAAACTCTAAACCCTAAACCCGAAAAAATGCCAAACCCTAAACCCTAAACCCTAAACCCTAAAACCTAAACCCTAAACCCTAAAACCCTAAAACCCTAAAACCCCAAACCCTAAACCCTAAAACCTAAACCCCAAACCCTAAACCCTCAGGGCGATGCATGGATTTGCATATACTGGGAGATACTTCAACCCTACGCACGCCTCTCAGACATAGGAAGGCTCATACTGATACCACCCATAAGATTGCATGGTGATCTTAGGGTTTAGGGTTTAGGGTTTAAATATTCAAGAAGATGCTTATAGATTGTTGCAAATACATTAGAATACCTAGCACAGAGTACAAATATACATAGCAAGGACTTTTGGCAGATAACAACCCTACAATACCAGGAGTACGAACATGAGCAATACCAAATCACAACAAGCAATGAAAATAAACATCTGAAAGAATACTAAAATACTAATATACTAATATGAAAACGCGAATGCTATTTGGGTTCAGTGTTTCCTCATTCAGGGCTTAGGATCATTGCGTCTGGTCGTGTCAGTGTACAAGTTTCCTCCCTGTAGTATCCCAGCCCTGGAAAACGACCCCCCCCCCCCCCCATTATCATCATGGGAGTGTAAAAAGGAACAAGAAAGAAACCCGTGAGCTAATAATGAAACTTTCCAAGGGCTCATACACATACAAACAAGGGGCGCTTTCGGGCATGAAATGAAATTGAGTTTCGTGCATCATTTTTCTACACAAATAACATTCACGCTTCTCTTCGCTTCGCCTATTCTCGCCTATTATCGGGGCGCCAAATACGAAAGAAAAAACGCTACAATGAACGAAACAAAAAGCAGTGTTCAAAATAAACAAGCGAACAGCCAAATTATATTCCTTCGCTCACCGCTGTGTGCCCCTACTGACAAACCCGTGCCGTCGTTCATTCTCTTCTCCTTACGCTGTAGCCGCACTGTAGCCCTACTCTGGGTCCTGGACTGATAGTGCTCCTTTACCCCTATAGAACACGGCAAAAAGACGAGACAGGAAAGCAGAAGGGGGAAAAAAAACAACCCAAAAAACCCGATCAATCAAGGGCTTCGGTTTCAGTCTCTGGGGACGATCTAGTGGCCGTCTCGTCCCTAGGCTTTTCGGAACAGTGGTTGGGTTAGAACCCCCTAAAAAGACTGAAGAACAATCATCCCTTTATTGCCCCGGTACGGAGGAATATTTTCTGGAGTGGTTCTGAAGAAACTCGTTCTGAAGGTCCGAGGGTTCGGGGTGTAGGCGAAGCCACGCCTTGTGCCCCCTGACCCCCCAAACTCACCCCTCGCCGTCGTGCCATAATGGAAGCTGATATTTATCTCATTTCTAGCATGTTTTATGGGCACGTTTTGCATGAAGAAAAAAAACACATGGAAAAAAACATTCCCTTGGGACATCTCACCACAAAATGCTTAGCCCCTTTCACAGCCCCTCACCAGGGGCAACTCCCTAAGCCCCTAGAGCCCTTACCATGCCAGCAGATCTGGGTAGACCAGTAACCATGTTGAAACCCTAAACCCTAAACCCTAAACCCTAAACCCTAAACCCTAAACCCTAAACCCTAAACCCTCAGGGGTACCTTTTTGAGATCTAAGGTTTCCCGTTTCGGGCTTTTCGAAGGGACCCCTAGAGCCAAACGAATGGCAAAAGGACTCCACTGGGCTACCAAGATATGCCAATCAAGGCCAAGCGTTGCAAGTGTGCTCTCGGCAGCTTACGCAGATGCTGCAGAACCCTAGGGCGGTTTAGGGTTGAGGGTTTAGGGTTTAGGGTTTAGGGTTTAGGGTTTAGGGTTTAGGGTTTAGGGTTTAGGGGCCAGTGTACCTCCTGAGAAGCCTGGCGTGGACAATTCTCTGGGCACTTGTGGGAATGCCAGACCATGGAACGGAATGCGCGCGAACCGCGTTCAGGTGAAAAGAGCTACGTAACTTTCTTCCCAAAGCCCCACCTACAAACCTGGGGTTTAGGGTTTAGGGTTTGGGGTTTAGGGCTTCCAAAATGAGACTGCTGAGAGCTGTCCGGACTCAGCCGGAAGTAAGCCGCAGCTGTGGACCGATCCTAAACCCTACCCTACACCCTACACCCTACACCCTAATTACACCCTACACCCTACACCCTACACCCTACACCCTAAACCCTAAACCCTAAACCCTAAACCCTAAACCCTAAACCCTAAACCCTAAACCCTAAACCCTAAACCCTAAACCCTAAACCCTAAACCCTAAACCCTAAACCCTAAACCCTAAACCCAACTTTGCACTAAACCCCCAAGCTCGCAGCATTGTCAGGGAAGATGGCTCTGGAACAGCTTTTGGCCATAGCGAGACTCAGAGCATCCCAAGAGGGGGACTTCTCCCCCCAAACGGGAACCTCCAGAACCTAGAACCTGGAGCTCGTCTGCTCCAAGGGTGTGGGGAGTTTAGGGTTTAGGGTTTAGGGTCTAGGGTCTAGGGTCTAGGGTCTAGGGTCTAGGGTTTAGGGTTTAGGGTTTAGGGTTTAGGGT